TGGTCAGGTGTATGCCAGGCAGTAGGAGATGGTGGGCAAGGAGCCCAGGCTGGTCCTAGGAGCAGGCTGCCAAGGAGGAGGGATGTCTGCCAAGCCCTTAGTAAATGCCAAGCCTTTGGGAGGGCATTCCACCCTTCATCCGCTATTCCAACTAATGCCTGTGATCACCTGCAGCTGTGTGGAGAGGCCGAGGACCCGCACCACTACCACCAAAGGAGAGGGTAGTTACAGCACATCCTGCTGCACAGGAGACACGTGGGGTATGAGAGGGGTCCTTGTAAAGGTCAGGGGGCGACAGGCCCACCAGGACATGGCATGTGGGAGGTCATCTGCCTTGGGGGTGGGAGCAACAGAGGGGCTGAGCTTAAGTTCCACTGTCCATGCTTCCCCAGCTTGGCTGTCATGTGTTTGACTGACAGATTAAATAACCCCATAACTATATGTTCTGGGGCCAAATAAGCCAGGCAGATGGGATTCTAGAGGATTCTACAAATGGAAAATTTCAGGTATGGAGCTTAAATGAGTGTGTATATTTGTTGACGGGATAGCCAAAGTGTGCAGAAGTGAAATAGAAATGAGGGCAAACTCCTAATCATACCTCAAAAACCTCTGTTCCATGAACCTGGCCTGAGCAAAGCAGAACCAGGTCCTTTAGCCTCTGTCATACCCCAATCACCGAGGATTCATCTACACTGTCATCACCTGTTCTGGGTTTTTGTTTTTAAGATTTATTTATTTTTATTGGAAAGAGAGTTACAGAGAGAAGGAGAGACAGAGCGGAAAATCTTCCATTTTCTGGTTTCCTCTTCAAGTGGTCACAAAGGTAGGAGCTGAGCCGATCTGAAGCCAGATGCCAGGAGTCTCTTCCAGGTCTCCCACGCGGGTGCAGGATCCCAAGGCTTTGGGCCGTCCTCAACTGCTTTCCCAGGCCACAAGCAGGGAGCTGGATGGGAAGTGGAGCAGCTGGGACAAGAACCGGAGCCCATAGGGGATCCTGGCACATGCAAGGCGAGGATTTAACCACTGAGCCATCGCGCTGGGCTCTGTCATCTGCTCCTTATTTAGCTCTGGGGCTCCCCAAGGCTGGGCACCCTGAGTCTATCTTCAGAATTATTTCCGTAGACCAGACATCTGACATAGTGAGTTAAGCTGCTGCTTGGGACTCCCATGTCCCAGACCCAAGTGCTTGGGTGTGAGTCTGGTTATGCCATTTGTGATCCAGCTCTCTACCAAAGCTCACCCTAGACAGCAGCAGATGATGCCTCAAGTCCTTGGGTTCCTGTCCTGCACGTGAGAAACCTGGATTGAGTTCCTGGCTCCTGGCTGTGGTAGGCATTTGGAGAGCAAACCAGAAGATGGAAGATCCCGTTCTCTCTTTGTGTGTGTGTGTCTGCCTTTCAAACAAAGTGAAAATAAAAAAGAATCATTTCTCTGAGTTCAGCGGAGATGCTGAAGTTCATTCCAGCCACCTCCTGTCAGTCGTTCCCTCACTTGCTCACCCCACAAAGCTCATCTGTCTCAGCCTAGTTCCACACCTGATGATGTTGAACTGCCTTTTGGAGACATGGGCAGAGCATGCCATGTGGGCAGGTGTTAGGATGGTGGGGTCCAGGGTAATTGCCTTCTCCCTCTGTTTCCCAACCCTGCCCTAAGAGAGTTGATATTTTCCCTTTACAATGGAGCAACTGTCCATACAGGAAGATGGCATTCAAAGTAATATAGGAAATCATGACTTTTCCATAAAAGAAGTTTTAGGATAGCTTCTATTATGAGAAAAAGAATTGTTCTCCCATAGGAAACAATCTGAGCAGCCGCTCCATCACAGCACATGAGCTCAGCTAAGAGACATGAGCCACACGCACATCCACCAGGCCCACCTGGCCAAAGGCCTCCTTTCTGAAAACCTCCGGGGCCCGCCGAGAGCCCTGCCATCATTTGGCATCCATGATCCCCTGGCTGTTTTCCAGCACTTTCCACGTGGTCCACATGCCTGAACTTCCTGGACTCCCTCAGTGAAATGGAAAAGTGAGAGGAAGGGCAGGAATGAAGCAGAGAACTCCCTGCCTAGGGAAAAATCCCCCAGATGCTCAGTGAGGCAGTGTGGTTGCAGCTGACCACCTACGGCCCCGCTCAGCAGAACCCCCATGTGGCTGCAAGGCTGCTGCCTTCCACCCTAGTACCGGGAAGGGGTGGGGCCGCAAAGGATGCACCATGCACAGTGATGTAACAGCAGAACCAGATCACCCACAGAGCAGAAGTGCCAGTCGTAAATGAGCTAAACATACAGGCAGCCGAGGACACTCCCTTTTGGAAAGCACACACACACACACACACACACACACACACAAAGACCTTTGTGCCAAAAATAATAATATAATGGTTGCCAGGGCAGTCTGGGCAGCCTGGGCAGTATAAATACTGCATTGCCACCATGCAGTCATGACTGCGAGTCAGCGGCTCAGGCTGTGGCTCCAGAGGACTGAAGACTTGGCAACCACAGAGGTGAACAGTCGAGCAGCTGCCTGCAGCCCCGAAGCTCCCGGCTCCCAGGCAGCTTGGCCAGCTCTGTGGTGAGTGGCCATTCTATGAGAAGACTTGACCCCTTCCAATTTAGGAAGGCTCAGAAAGCAGCGGGGATTTTCAGACTTCACAGATAAAGCCCTTGGCTCATCTAGAGGGAGAAATGTAGGCTCAGGGTTCTTTTCTGCAGATGTTTGCTTTGATTGCTGCATTATAAAAACTTTCTGGAAAAGTCAGGATGGGGATAGGTGGGAATATCTACAAACTTTTTAAAAAGACTTATTTATTGTTATTGGGAAGGCAGATTTACACAGAGAAGGAGAGACAGAGAGATCTTTCATCTGCTGGTTCATCCCTAAATGGCCACAATGGCCAAAAGGGCCAGAGCTGAGCCAATCTGAAGTCAGGAGGCAAGAGCTTCCTCTGGATCTCGCACACAAGTGCAGGGTCCCAAGACTTTGGGCCATCCTCCACTGCTTTCCCAGGCCACAAGCAGGGAGCTGGCTGGGAAGTGGAGCAACTGGGACATGAACTGGCACCCATATGGGATGCTGGTCCTTGAAGGTGGGGGTTAGCTTGTTGAGCCATGCACCAATCTTTGCTGATTTTTTAAACATAGATTATCCTATTCAGTTCTTATAGCAAGTACCTACCAACCCTCAACTCCCCAAAAGAACTCCAGGATTCGGGTAAGATGGGTATTTTTTTTCTTAAAGATTTATTGTATTTATTTGAGAGGCAGATTGATACACACATAAAGTTAGAGAAAGAGAAAGAATACTTCACTGCCAGTTCACTGCTGACTACAACGGTAGGGGCTGGGCCAGGCCAAAGCCAGGACCAAGAACTCCATCCAGGTCTCCTACGTGGGTAGCAGGTGCCTAAGCATGGGGGTCATCTTCTGACTTCCCAGGCAAGTTAGCAGAGACCTGGATTAAAAGCAGAATATCTGGGACTCTAACTGGCACTCCAATAGGGAGATGCCAGCATTGCAGGGAGTGGCTTAGCCCATTTATGCCACAACATCAGCCCCTAAGGTAGGTATTATCAGACCCAATGCAATGGCTCAATTGGCTAATCCTCTGCCTTCAAGTGCAGCTCAATAAGCACACCTAAGATCATATAAGAGCACTGCTCCACTTCCCAGCCAGCTCCCTGCTTGTGGCCTGGGAAAGCAGTGGAGGATGGCCCAAAGTCTTGGAGCCCTGTATTTGTGTGGGAGGCCCAGAGGAAGCTCCTGGCTCTTGGCTTCAGATTGGCTCAGCTCTGGCCCTTGTGGCCATTTAGGGAGTGAACCAGCAGATGAAAGATCTGTCCGTCTCCTTCTCTGTGTAAATCTGCCTTCCCGATAAAAATTAAAAAGTCTTTTTAAAGAAAAGATGTATATTATTATCAAGACCATTTTATAGATGACAAAATGAACTCCAGTTAAATCATTGGTCCAGATCAACTAGCTAGTAGAGCTAGGATAGCTGGGATTTACATGTGGATCAGTGGGGTTCTAGGATCCCGACATGGTATTGATCACGTTGCTGCCCAGCAGAACTAGTTTTCCAAGAAGAAGGCTTGCTGCGAGCAAGCCCAGACCAGACCCAGGTCACTGCGTGAGTTACGTGCCTCTTCCCCATCTCCTGAATGTCAAGAAAGGAATGGGAAGTATTGTTGACCAGTACTGAAGTACAGTTGCACAATCTCAGGAGAGTGGGATCGGCGGCAGCCTGCAGGGCTTCCTCCGGGAGCAGGTGTATGGCAGCAGCTGCTAATTAAAGTTGCTGGAACCTGCCCCTAGGCTGGGCAAGTGCATCCAGTTTTCACCTGACTCCTCTCCACCCCATCCCCGCCCCAGTGAAGAGGCTTGTCCAGGTCAAGTGGGTGCCCCTTCCCCAGTAATAGGAGGCCCCAGGGCCAACAGCCAGTTCCTATTGCTGGGAGATAATGTTCTGTGGGGCTGTTGTTTACCTTTTTGATGGCTCCTGGCTTTGTGGGACTGAGGTTGGTGTCCACAGGACCCTTCCTGGAGGAGTAGAGGATGCAAAGAGGCTGTACAAGACTCATTCTTTTCATTTTTTTTTTCTTTGAGAGGCAGAGAGACAGATGGGCAGACAGAACTAACTCTCAGCCATCCGTTCAGTCCTCAAGTGCCCCCTAAGACTGGGGCCAGAACCCAGAGCTCACCCCCATGTGGGTGGCAAGGACTACTTGAACCACCAGCTGCCACCTCCTAGGGTCTGCATTAGGAGGAGACTGATAATAGGAGCTGGAACATGAACTCAGGCATGCCAACATGGGATACTGGCATCTTAACCACCAGGCCAAACACCTGCCCTTTCCTCTTGGTGCTTTGGCAAAGCAACCAGATTGAGTTCTGAGAGCCACTCTCCAGCCCTCCCTCAGACCCCTTCTTCTTCCTCACTCAGCCATCAGCCAAGAACCGCTGAGCTAGAATCCACAAAAGGGATCTGCCTTCTGGGGCTGCAGTCATGGCGTGTCCCTGGAGATTTCTGTTCAAGACCAAATCCCAGCAATGCAATTTGACTGAGGAAAAGGACATCAACAACAACGTGGGGAAGGTCACCTATGTACTCTCCAGGTAAGTGCTTCGGTTGGCTGCTGGTCGGCCTTCCCAGATGCCCATAGAGGCCATACTCAGAACATTTGCTTTGCTCTCAGGTGTGCCCCTGAGGGCTGTTCTCAGCTGAGGTGTGGTGATCTGAGCCTGCGGTCCAGTCCCTTCGTTGCTTCCTGGCTATCTGCAGCCTCTTCACTGGTCACTTCTCTGTGCCTGTTGCTACACAAGGCAAAGACCAGGCCCACAGTGCTGGTCTTGAATCCCTGGGGGGAAGGTGCTTTGTGTGACAAGAGGAGAAGGTGATAGGCCAGGACAACCTAGTGGCTAGCATCCATTCTGATTTGCCAGAGTGTGTGTGCCTGCCTGGTAGTGGTTTGATATTTTGAATATCAGACTACTGAAGAGTACGGCGTGCTTAGTCATGTGATCTGGGGAGAAGGAAGCTACCTGAGCCTGCAGTGTGTTCACTGCGGCAGGGGAGGACACCAAGGAAGACCCATGCCTTCTGTATTGAGGATGCAGTGACATGCACACAGCAGGGGCTTCATAAACAGTGAGGTTTGTTAGCCTCACTCTGGGCCAGGGCCACACTGGGCAGTTCACATGCTTTGCATTTTAGCTGTCTTTCCCTGTCTCTCTGCCCCCACCCCCACTCCCAGAGGTGGCGGTCTACTAGACTGGGAATCACAGAGTTGGAATTTGAATGCAAACTGTGGATTCCTTCTGAAGCCATCCTCCAGTCAGTATCACCAAGCATGGGGCACTCCCAAGTTGTGAGTCAGTGGTCCATTTGGGGACAGGCTCGAAGAGGATATGGGAAGAATTCTGGCTTGCAGGCTTGCACTGGAGACCAGGTCTTGCTTGTGTGGGGAGATATATGAGTCTACAATAACAAATAACAGGAGTCTGTGCCTGGGGATTGATATGTTGACTCTGTTCCTTTGTTCCCTCTTCAGAGGGAGAAAGTGCTCCCGGAAGTGTATGGAAATAGGCGAAAGCCCCACCTTTATATTTTAAAGGATAATTCTACCAGGAACCAGAGACCCTAACTGCCTACTATCCAGTCTGACCCACACAATGAGGACCTGGGGCTAAGCCATCTTTAGCTGTCTTGCTGGAACTGCACAGTCTCGCAGCAGCTTCACCCCAGTACTACAAGCCCTTGCCAGCTGGCACCCCGGTTCCAGTCCTCCACTCTGACTCCTATGCCTGTAGCTTGACTTCCAGCAGGCCATGTTCCTTTTTTAGCATTGGCTGTGACTTCCACTGTGCCCATGCTATGACTTGCATGCAACATTCTGCATGACCATCCTACCACACAGAGGGCACATACCCCCTGGCACAGCACAGCTGGACAAGGGGGAGGGTGGAGAACCAGCTAAGAACCACCAACTAAAACCTGATCTTTTGTCTTAGTTCTTTGCACTGGCCTATGTCAGCAGAAAGGCTCAGATACTACAGGTGATGGTGAGAAGATATATAGTAATTCACTTAACTGTTCCAAGTCCATGAGGGAGGGACTTTTGTTATCTTCCTGTTTTAGAGGTGAGGAAGCTGAAGGCCAAAAACCCTCAGTAATGTCTAAAATCTCAGAGTCAGTGAATGATGGCCAGCTTCACACTGGGTTGTATGCCTGGAAACCATGCCACGTGCCCACCCTGTTTGACCCTGGGCATGCTCCCTTTCATCACAGCGATGCACAGGAGTCTCCTCAAGGGCCTGTCCTGGGAGTCAAGAGGTCACCCAAACCACTCTGTGTATCCACCAATAGTTGGAGACATTGGGTCCTTGCCGGTACTACTGCTAAAACTCCTAACACTGACAGTGCCTTTCTCAGTGAGTCTAACAAGGCAGGAACTGAAACCATCCTCGGCTTAAGTTACGCACCCAGGCCAACATCTAGAAAGCAGAGGAGATGAGGTTTGAACCAAGTTCAAACTTGTGCCCTCTAGCTCTGTGGACCCTGCCTGCGGGCTGTGAGTCGGACAGGAGAAAAAGACCTGGTTCTCTAAGCAGAGGGAGGTGGAATGGGTTTTTCAAGCTACAAATAATTCAGGTGTGAGAAGAGGAGCTGCAGTAAGCAATATAGCAAGGTTGTGTTGTTCTCTCTCAGAACAGAAAGAGAGAAATACACCTGACCATTGAAACTGTGGCAAGCCAGTCATGTGGTTTGGGGAGGAGAGTGCACCTGGCAAACCAAGCAGGTGCCTCAGGAACGGCCTGAGCACGTGTACAGACTGTGCTCAGACTGAGACTTATAATGGTTTGGGATCCAGTTCTCTCTCCCCTCTCTCCTCGGACAAAGAGGTTTTGGGTGTGCTGAGGGGTTTCCCCTAGGGTGCCTTCCTTATGGGAAGCTGAGACCACCTGGGAGGCAGCACCCCTTCTCATCCACAGGTGGTCTGTTTTCCTCCGGCCCCTTTCTCACACCAAGGAGGCCAATTTCTACTTTGCAGTTTCCAGGGAAGTGCCAGGTGGATTTCTCACTGGTGTGGGAAGGACCCAGGGAAGAATGGGAAGGCAGAAAGCTTTATAATGACTTAGGAGCAGGGTGGACAGAGGCCCTAGCGTGGCCGTTGCACGGGGTGGGGCGGAAATGGTTTACTTGCTCTTTTTGCCTTTATTTTCTTTTTAAAGATTTATTATTTGAAACTCAGAGAAACAGAACCACAGGGAGAGACAGATCCTCCAACCACTGGTTCCGCCCCCTTCCCCCCAGATGGTTGCAATGGCCAGAGCTGAGCCAGGCGGAAGCAAGGAGCCAAGAGCTTTCATTCAATCTCCCATGTGGGTGTAGGGATTCAAACACCGGGAACATCTGCTGCCGTCTTTTTCCAGGCCATTAGCAGGAAGCTGGATTGAAAGTGGAGGAGCTTGGACTAGATCCAGTGCCTGTATGGAATGCAGGTTCCACCAGCTGCAGCTTTATCTGTCAGGCTACAATGCTGTCCCCAAGGGGGTGGCTTTCTGTGGAGACAAGGCTCTGCAGTGCAGCTACAGTTTAGCCAAGGGGGTGGGTGGGTGTGGAGGTGGGGAGGCTGGTCCTGGGAGAGGAAAACAGCCAGAGGGAGAGGGATTTTTATCCTGAAAGCAATGGGAGCAAATTGATAAGATCTTCCTTTCCAACGTAATTTCCAAATCTCTTCTGGTGCAATAAGAGCAAAAACCTAGTCTGGACTGACGGGTCTACAAGTTATGTAGACAAAGGATTAAGAAGCATGGCAAGTGCATGTGTGTGTGTATTACAGACCAGGCAGACAAAGGAACACTTGGTTGAAGTTGTGTTACTTCAGCAGTAGCCCTGGAATAAACATCTGTTTTCTTGCCGCCAGTGTTTGCATTGGGGTGCGGGGAGGTGGGTGGGCTCTGGGTTGGATCCTATAGGTCAGCCAAAGTGCTGGGAATGCAAAATGTGAAGCTTACAGACAGAGCCAAAACACCAGGCCTGTGCTCTCTGGGGATCTACCTAGACGGGGGTCTCTGGCCCCACCCCTGCTGTTTCCCCAGAGGTAGTCACTCCGCAGTCCCAGGCTTTCAGGTTTTCTTTCCCGCCACCTCTGGAGTGCAGACACCCGGGCTGCTCTGCGACCTTGAGCGAGAGCCTCAACTGGCGAGGGGACCCCAGTGTCCTCCTCCGCAAAGTGGGGATGCCAGCGCCACCTTCTTCACTGGGCTCAGTAAGGGGCCTCCAAAGCCCTCCGGAACACGCCAGGCGCGGTGAAGATCGGCTAGGCTCCTGCCGCGGGATAAACATCCCCTGTCTCCCGCCGGCTCCAGCTCGGGCCGTTGGCGGCGCACAGACCTCCCTTATAGCGCCGCGGACCGACTTCGGCCGCAGCCCACCTCCCGGCCGCTCCGCCTGCTCGCCCCGCCCCGGGGCGGGGGCTACGGGGTCCCGGAGTAATAAATGAGCGGGCGCGGCGGGAAGCGCAGACACCTGTAGCTGGACACGCCGGGGCCATGCGCGAAGGGTTGAGCGCGGCGTGCGACGCGGCCCGTCCGCGGCTCTGTCGGTTCCTGCGCAGGATCCTACGGCCGAAGCCTGCCTTCCGCCCCACCCAAGCCAGGTATTCCCCGCAGGTCTGGGTTTGCTCCGGTTCAGGCTCCAACAAAAGTCGGGGAGGGTTGGACTCTTCCCTGCTGTGGATGAGGGTTCGCCCCAAGAGTTTGCTGGAGGAGGGCAAGTCAGAGTGGCAATTCATGAGCCCCACCAGCACCCAGCCAGGTGTCAACGTGGACTGAACTGTGGGTGTTTTAGCACTAAGGAGTTTTTGTGATTGCCTCCACTCCCTTTAGTGCTGGGATTGCTATACCCTTGAGATCAGATCTGATTTCATTCCCCCAAATGATTGCAGAAGCTGGGGCCAGGTTCAAACCAAAAGCCTAGAACTCCTTATGGGTCTCCCATTGTGGGTGCAGGAGCCCAAGCCCTTGCTCCTTCACCAGCCGTGTTTCATTAGCAGGGAGCTAGGTCAGAAACAGAGCAGCCAGCCACGGAAGGAGCATTTGGATGTGGGAGGACTATGTGGCCAGCTGTGGCTTAGCTGTCCAGCTGTGCCAGCCACCAATATGTCTTTTTGAAAGTATGCTTATAGTAGGCGACAAAGTGATAAGATGTCTCCAGTTGCATTGGAATCAAGGGTGTGGGGCAAGCAGGATGGGACTAAGACAAGAGTGGCGGGGTGTCAGTGATTGTTGGACTGGATTGGATCTGGTACAGGCAGAGCTGGTGGAGTTTCTTCCTCTATTCCCTCTACTTGAGTGTGTTTAACATCTGCCATGATGACACAGTACAGTGAGCCAGCCGGCAAGCCCAGGTCAGCCACCAGCATCTGAAAGACTAAGGACAGAGTAGACTGAGCTGACCTGCTACCTGTGCCCTCCCCAGCAACCTCCCCATGCACTGTGCACACCGGCTTCTGCAGACCAGAACTGTTGGGGTCCGGAGCTTTGGCTCAGCTCCTGTGTGTCTTCATGGCTTTGTTTGGTAGATGAGGGGAATGGGAGAGGGTATATGTGGTGGTTGTGAGGGAACCAGCTGCTCCGCCCACACATCTTCCTTAACTGGAAGCCACCAGCAGTTCACCCCCACTCTCTGGACTTCATCTCACCCATCTGTCACATGTGGGGGTCTGTTGGAGGGTCCCCAACTTCATTTCATGATAGCTATTTCCTTCCACAGCCCAGTGACACAGGATGAGCCCAAGCGTCATGGCCTCGGCAAGCACCACGATCAGTCCCCAGCAGTGGCAGCCGAGGTCAGTGAGGTGCTTGGGAGTGGGAAGCCCCTCTTGCCCTGGCCTAGGCAGGTGTGGGCTGGGAAGCTGAGCACAGGAAGCAAGTCTGGGAGAGAGCGGAGAGCCCCGAGGCCAGGGGGCACAGGGCCTCTGCAAGAATGGGGGTGGCGAACCCCAGAGTGGGTTAGCAAGGGGAACATTGAAGACCATTCATGCAGGAGTAGGCAGAACTCTGCAGCTGAGCCCTTAGTCCCAGTACTCACACCCTCCCCCCAGCTCCTCTCTCAGGGGCTCTATGCCCCCTAAGTGATTCCCATCCCACCTGCAACAAATCCAGAGAAGTGGGAAAGAGAGGGAAGGAAGATGGAGGTGACCATTGTAAAGACCCCAGGAGTAAGTCAGCTCTAACTCTGGTCTGGGCTTTCAGTGCACTGCCTGTGACCATAAGCTCCCTGTGTCTGACCTGAGTCTCTCCTAGTGCGTCCCCACCCTCCACGGAAGCATCTGGCAGAGCTCTGGTGAAGAGAGATGCCTGGCCAACTGCCCAGGCACCTGGAGTGCTCAGCGGGCCTTGACCCAACTGGCCCAGCTGCTGTAAAGGCAGGAGGGACAGGGCCGGAGAACAGACCTTGTGCATCTATTCATAACTCCTCACTGCACCCAAGCCAATGCCTGGGGGAAGACACAGGGGTCCTGGGGTTGTCAGCACTTGTAAAACCCTGCTGTTTCCCCCCTACTCCCACCACCTCAGAAGTCTCCTGATTCCCTGGGCAAGCTGGATGCACCCCCATCAGCCTGTCCACGGCACTTGAGGATCCGAAACTGGGGCAACGGGATGACTTTGCAAGACACCCTTCACCTCAAGGCCAAAGAGGTAGGTTGTGTGGGGCTGCTGAGAGTAGCACCTGTGTCCCGAGGTGGTGAGACCAGCGAGGCCAACAGAGTGCCCTTGGGCAGACCAGAGGACACCATATTCTGACAAGGAGATTTGCATTCCTTGCAGGTGGCAGATAGAAGTCATTGCTAAGGCTCCCCGTTACCTGCCCCGGGGGTAGTGTGGCAGGTTGGTCAAACACTTACAGGAACAAGTTAGTGTTCTTCTTAGAAGTCATTATCTTGTCAGGGAGTTTCCCAGCAGAACTGCCCCAAGCTGGACTGAGCGGTACCATAAGGTAATGAGCTCCTGGTTGCTGGAGAGATTCCAGCGCTGATTGACGGGGAGATGGTGGAAGGGTCCCGGCACCCTGTGAGTGGCTGGGCTAGATGACCTTAGAGGCTCCTCTTTGTCTTCTGAATATTTTGTTCTCACTTTAGAATACTGCTCTGATTGTAAAGAGTCAAAAACACCCAGAACATTGAGATATGTACTTTCTTCCAGTATTTTTTTCTGTGCTACCCTGGGAATCTGGGATGTGCCTTCCCATACTTCATTCATTCCCTTTTTGACTAAATGCCAAAATCATCTACCCACAGGAGCCACATCCAGTTTAGGTCTAGTACAAGGTAGAAGAGATGTCTCCAGGGGCTGAGCTGGAGTTAGCCCTGGGCCCCTTGTGGCTGCCTGGAGAACTGTACTGCTCTCACTGCCTGTCTCTCTCTTTCCAGGATTCCACCTGCAAGTCCACATATTGCCAAGGTGCCATCATGAGCCCCAAGGGTATGACCAGAGGGCCCAGAGATAGGCCCATCCCTGCAGAAGAGCTGCTCCCACAAGCCATCGAATTTGTCAACCAGTACTATGGCTCCTGCAAAGAGTAAGGCTTGCTTCCTGCAGTCGCTGACTCTCCCCATCTCCAGCATCTGGGTGGGCTCCCTCCCAGCCCAGATCCTTTCCATGCCAGATTTGCATTGGTTCTAGGGCTAAAAACCCTACCGCTCTTGGTGTGGAGTTGGGTATGATGATGGCAGTTGCAGGTATGAGTGGAATTTGAGTCTTGGCCCCACCATTAGCCACTGGTTGTGGGAAGTCTGTGTACCCTGGCTGGGTCTCCACTCCCTTGCTTGTAGGCTGGATGTGGGAATAGAAGCTGGCTCCTAAGATCATTGTGAGGACTAAGAAATTGTCCTGGCACATTGGTAACCTTGATTAAGAGTTAGTAGGTACCCTTGTCTTAGAGAAAGACTCTTAAAGACAGTTTAGCCTATCTACTATTCCCACAGGGGTGAACACAGACACCCAGTGAGGCCCCTGCAGTCTCCATGCCCCAGCCACAGTGTGGACCATGTAGGTGCAGTGTTCCTGGGATTCTCTGCTTTTGCTTTCTAGCCAGTGAGGCATCCATGCATGGGGTGCTGGGACTCTTCTGTGTCTATGATCACCAAGTTGACAGACATCCATCAAGCACCAGGTCAGCTCTAGCCTAGAATACAAACTGTTTTGATTGTCAGTTGCCAGCTTTGTTGTTGTGACATGCCTAGCTTAATCTTCCAAGGAGGGCTTGTGTAGCACTGTGGGTAAGAGGAGGTAGCCGTCCCAGGATGAACTAGCTAGCTGTACCCTGTCTGAGCCACGTGACGTAGGGCAAGCTGCTTCATCTTGCTGACCTGTAAAATAAGGGTGGAGATGGCACTACTTTGTGGGAGTTTGTGGAGCTGAGATGGGTTAGTTTATATGAGGTGCCTAGAGCAATGCCTGGCCCTTAATAATAAGCACAGCTCAGTATTAGTGGTTCAAATGAGAGATGTGACTATGTAACTTAGGCCCCTTGTTTTATCAGCTTTAAAAGGAAAGGGCAGAGCCACAGAAGGAGACCTGGCACCTGAGGGTGGATGTGGCTCTTGTTCGCTGCCCTGTAGGACGTCTGAGCTTAGGGGGACCTGGAGTCTCCCCTGGAGACCTAGAGGTCCTGACTCCCAGCTGTTGAGGGGTGTGGCTGGGGAGGTTGCAGAACACTGGTAATCCCTGGGCTGTGGGGAAGTGGGAGGGGTGTGGGTAGGCACCTGTCACCTGAAGCTTCCTACACAATCCCACCATGTGTTACCTGCTTTGCGTTCTGCCACAGCCTTTGAGTCTACAGTGCTTCCCTCGACTCCTTGATAACTTGGCTCTGTTGCTAACCAGTGAGCCTTCTGGGATGCAGGGATGCTCCTTGCTGGGCTCTCTTGAGCCACAGAAAGCATGGGTACTCAGCCCCAAGCCTGCATAGAGCCAGTGTATAACTCTTCTGTGTGGTGCCCACAGCGGCTCCAGCAGACAGACACTCTCAGTATCCCCATTTCATGGGCAGGGCAAGGGGAGTCCTTGGAGGAGACAGAACTTGCTGGAAGTTGCATGCTCTGCAATCCTACAGCTTGTTCCAGAACCCAGGAAGCTGGCACCAGAACCATTGCATTTGAAAAAAAAAAAAAGATTTACTTATTTTACTTAAAAAGCAGAATTTCAGAGACAAAGAGGTTTTTGCATTCACTAGTTTACTCCCCAGATGGCTGCAATGGCTGGAGCTGGGCCAGACTAAAGCCAGGAGCCTTGAGCTTTTGGATCTCCCATGTGAGTACAAGGACCCAAGGACCCAAGGACGTGGACCATCTCTGCTGCTTTCCAAGGCCACCAGCAGAGAGCTGTATTGGAAGTATAGCAGCTGGTACACAAATCAGTGCCCATGTGGGATGCTGGTGCCACAGGCAGAGGATTAGTTTACTACGCCACCATGTCAGCCCTCAGAACCTTTGCTTTTAAAAGGCTCAGTGTTCTAGCCCCAAGTTCTGGCCTGCAGGTTTGGGACTGTGTTCTGGGCCTGGGGCCTTTCTGTAGTGTGGATGGCAACTTGGGGGAGGCCACAAGGCTGTGCGTGATGGCTGATGGAGAGGGACGCTTTGTGTCTCACAGTCACAACACTGAGGCATGCCAAGAAGTTCACTGAAACTGGGGCTAAAAGATAAGCTCTTCTTGGTGCAAAACAAATGGAAATCATGTCCTTCGAGGGTCTTCAAAACATTCGTGGAAGACGTATACAAAGAAGAAAAAGTTACCAGTTGTTTACATAAAATCTAATTTTTAAAATTCTATTTTCCACGAACTTGCTGAGGTCCCCTTGTATATAGGTGGACTCGAACGGGGCAGGTGGTATGAGAGATGAGTGGCAGACTGCCTCCATGGTAACACTGCATATTTAGCAGATTACAAGGTTGTGTCTTGCCGAGGCTACCTGCAGGTCTCCTGCATTGAAAGCCACTGCTTTTCACCTTAGAACTTAAGGGTGCCAAGGGCATGTCTGGGCTGTGGGGCCATAGTAACACAAGCGTAGAATTATGAATCTCTCAAAGCATGGTGGGGGGCAGGCAGACATACAGAGTCATCCTTTCCTGGGATTCCCCATGACTCACCCCCCCGGGTGCTGGAGGCAGGGGCGTCCTAGGGTGGCTGCCACTTGCAGGCTGGACTGCAGAACCTGGAGCATTGCTCCCAATGGTGTCTGGGAAGGCAATGCTTCCAGGCTGAAAGGCACTGCCTTGGCCTGCAGCCCTTGCAGCACGCAATTGTCCTTGAGGTCCAGTAACACGTGTTTTGTCTCTGTACCCTCTGCTCTAATCAGGGAAGAGTTGCCGAGACACCCTTCAACCCAGAAAGGCCATTCTGTTCTGAGTGTCCCCTGTGGCTAATCGGGAGACAAGCCCTTCACCACTTTTGTTGCCTTAGTGCTGATTGAGACTCTCAAGGTTGCTGTGTGTGTGTGAGTGCATGCCTGTGTGTGGATGTGTGCAAGGGTGTGTGTTTCAGAGCCAGAATCCCTCCCTTTGGGATATTTGTGAAATGGGGGACGGGAGGGAGAAGTAGATATAGAAATTGTGGCCAGCTCTCTATCTGATCTGGAACAGACCCCTAGGGCTCACAGACCCACCCCTGCTCCAACTCCCACCCCAGGGTGGAAGGTAGAAGGTCACCCTTCTAGCAGCTAAGAGCTGGGGCCTGGCCTTGTGGACCCAGGGCTGCATGCCAGTGTTGCTCCCCACCACCCTAGCAGCCTGGGCCTGGTACCTAACATTTGGTTGCTTGAGACCCCAAACTCTAAAATAGAGATATTCTTTCTTCACACCCCCTGCCTGGAGTTAATTCATTCAGCATCTGCCTGCCATGAGTGCTCAGTATGCAGGGATTGGCCATCTCCCCTCCATGTGACAAAGTAGAGAGAGAGAGGCCGCACCTCACCATGGTGTGCCAGGAAGCCTGAGTCTTTTAGGCTGCCAAGAAGGACTGTGGCCTCTCTGGGGTGAACTGAGGGTAGTGGCGTCCCACCCATCTCAAAGCCAGCTGCAGGGTGTGCAGGACCCTACACGAATGTGAAAATCCAGGCTCCTCCTCCAGGCAGGCTTCAGAGTTGTCAACATGGAGTGTGTGAGGGGACAGCCACTGCCCTGAGACCTGCTGCTGGCCCTCCTGGTGGCCTGGTTCAGTTCCTGCTCTGTGGATTTAATTCCCCCCACCATTTTAGGCTATCTCGCTATTGATCTTCCTGATGTCTTCCTGTTCCTCAGGGCAAAAATAGAGGAGCATCTGGCCAGGGTGGAAGCGGTGACAAAGGAGATAGAAACAACAGGAACCTACCAGCTCACAGGGGATGAGCTCATCTTTGCCACCAAGCAGGCCTGGCGCAACGCTCCCCGCTGTATTGGCAGGATCCAGTGGTCTAATCTGCAGGTGGTTGTCGTGTGTCCCCAGCATGGGGCAGGGAGGAGGGGTGGGATTGGGAGCAGTCAGCCCCAAGCACAGGATTCTGGAATATCTGAGCAGAGCTGTACAGGGGACATCCTTTTTGAAGCCAAAGCCCAAGTCTCCCCGAACATGACGTGGGATGCAGGTGGGGGTGGGGCAATAAGAACCTTCCAGAAGTCTACAGTCTTCCCTCAGCATCAGGATTTCTCACTGACCAATCTCCCTGTGTTATACTCGGGACACTAAACGTCATCACAAAATCAACCAGCAGCCTCAGCCTGTCCGTATTTTTCTTGGGGTACAGGTGCTGCAAGAGAGGTAGTTTAGCCTCAGGGTGTGGATTCTTGGCTTTAAGACAATGTTGTATCTACCCTTGCCACCTGGCCTATCTGCTCACTGGGAGATCCTTAACACTTGGGTATTTTCAGAAGTGACTGGCTGGGGAACATGCATTCCTAGAGCAGAGGGACCAGGCTGGGTGACAAGAATCCTGATTTGGGGTGGGGTTTGAGGGGCAGGTGGTGCTTTAATTTTGCTAAGGGCTTCCCCAAGTGGGGTTGCCTGTGTTCCCTGAGCAGAGTGGGAGAAGGCTGGATGGGGCAGCTGAGATGGAAACTGCGGGTGCGGAGAGGGCAACACCTGCCCTTCCCCTTGTCGGGGCCTTGGGGGGTTGGGTGGACAGCTGCTTGCTCAGCTCTCTGTGCTTCTGGTTGTTCCTGAAGCCTCTGCCCCACAGCCCTTGACAGGCATGGTCTGTGTGCAGGTCTTTGATGCCCGGAGCTGTTCCACTGCCCAGGAAATGTTCGAACACATCTGTAGACACCTGCGTTACTCCACCAATCATGGCAACATCAGGTGGGTGCCAGGAGCCTGTGCTGCCTGGTCCTTGCCAAAGGGTGCACGTACGTCTCAGGGACCCTTGTCTTTCTCAAGGCAAGCCAGGGAGAAAGACAAAGAAGGACTCAGGCTCATTCTGGGGTCCTGAGCTACATCTACATACTGGCCCATGTCTGGGGTTCCAGCTGGAGACAGGTCGTCATTCACCATTGTTCAGGGTTAGGGTCCCAACTTTTTGCAGGGAGTCAGTTTCCAGTGGGTGATCTTGTGTAGTGTTTTGCTTGGAGATAGCAAAGTTGCTGCCCATCACTGTCTCCACCAGCATGCCCAACCCCTGACCATTCCTGCCTCCTCTAGCAAACATTCAGAGTCTCTTATATGGGGTCTGGGCACAAGGCTAGGCAAGGGGCAGATGGGTGTTGACTAAGCCTCTAAGATGCTACTCCAGCCCACTGTGAACCCATGGCTTGCATGAGACCAACCCAGCTAACTTTACCTCAAGAGCAGATGTGTCAGGTGGCTGAGGGCTGGAGGACAGCTGAAGACTGCGGGGCGGGGGAGGGGGGTCCCAGATAATGGTCCCTGTGCTGGCCTTGAAGGGACACTGGAGCTGACAGGAGGAGGGCTACTGGACTGTCAGAGGCTGATGCAGGGGCCGTGGGACAGCAAGGGTGGAGGGGGAGGTAGGTCATTGGGGGTGGCTGGGGACCCCCGACCAGGGGCAGGTGGTAATCAGCTTTATCCTATGCTGGGAAGGTCGGCCATCACTGTGTTCCCCCAGCGGAGCGACGGCAGGCATGACTTCCGCATCTGGAACACTCAACTCATCCGCTACGCAGGCTACCAGATGCCTGATGGCACCATCCAAGGGGACCCTGCCAATGCTGAGTTCACACAGGTACCTGGCCCCAGGACCTTGGAGATAGGGATCCTGGTAGAGGATGCCAGCTGGAGCTCAGAGGCAGCCTGGTGTCCAGGTCTACAGATTCATTGGATCTGTCTCACTCTCATTCTCCTAGCTGTGCATCGACCTGGGTTGGAAGCCCCGTTTTGGCCGCTTCGATGTGCTGCCTCTAGTCCTGCAGGCCAATGGTCAGGATCCTGAGCTCTTCGAAATCCCCCCTGAACTGGTACTCGAGGTGCCCATGGAGCATCCCAAGTGAGTGACTGGGAGTGTTGGGGTGTCTGAGCCAGTGTGCCTGCATGCGTGCATGTCCTCCCTCCTAAGTGACTCTCCAACCCCCACAGCTCAGGCAGCAGCAGGTGACACCCCAGGGTGGGCGAGTGAGTCCTTCTTGCATTCTGTAGCAACCCTGCATTTATTTGCCTCTCTGACTCCCATTGTAAGAGAGTGCATTGGTGGTGAACACCAAGCAGGGGCTTAGGTGGATAGGCCCCAGGGGTTGGGAAATAGTGGCCTTGGAGGACACTTCCTTTGGGATTCCTGAACTGAGTGGCCCAGGTCTCTTGGCTTCCTGCCCACTGTCCAAGCTGTCCCACTGGCCTCTAGGGGAATGTGCAGGGCTGGAATGACTTTGCCTTTTTATTTACTTATTTTCATTTTTATATCTGAAAGGCAGAGACACAGAGTCAGAGAGAGAGACAGAGAAAGAGATATTTCATCTGCTGGTTCATTCCCCAAGTGTCCACAAGAATTATGGCTGAAGCCAGGAGCTTCATTTGGATCGCCCATGTGGGTAGCAGGGACCCAAGGACTTGAACCATATCTTCTACCTCCCAGGGTGTGCATTAGCAGGAAACTGGATGGGAAGCAGAGGCTGGGCTTGAACCCTGGGCTGTCTGAGATGGGATGTGGCAGTCCCGGTCTTGTCTTAACCAGCGTGCCTTGTGACCACTCCTCTAGGGGCTCCAGGAGATCACCTGGGTCAGCCCCTTCTCTAGGCATGGTCATGTGATTGCAGAACCTTCCTGTCTTGCAGGCAATTAAGCTGCTCTTCTTGTTGCCCAGCCTTGCCTCCAGGCCTTGGCGGTGGCTGTTTTGCTGGCTGGCTGACCCGCCCTTCCCTCAGATTCCGCAAGATTCATTTCTTGTTGCCAAAAGGTGTCTCCTGTAGTGTAGCCCCCTCTGAGAGGGCTGTCCTAGAAGCAGACCTGTCACCCTCAGTCTAACAGGACTGGAAGCTCTTTGAGGATAGAAATCTTGCCTCTCTGGAATCCTCAATGCCTAGTAGGACATCTGACAATGTAGAATGTGTTCCATTGCATGACATTATTATGTTCATAATAATCCTGTGTTTCATACTGTTATTTCTATTTTGATGGATAGGGCTCAGGCTAAAAAGAAAAAGCTCCAGGTCACATTGCTAGCCAGTGGTGAGGCAGAATGTAAACACTAGGCTGCTGACCCCAAGCCCTCGACCATGATGTGATGTTAAAATCTCAGCATTGGCTTCTGGCTTTGGCCTGGCCCAGCCTGGCTGTTGGGACCATTCAGGGAGTGAACCAGTGGATTGAAGACTTCTCTGTCTCTCCCCGCATTTCAAATCTATAGAAAGAATAGAAGAGAGAGAATGAATGATTGACTCTCAGCATTCACTACAGGATGTGTTTGCTGGAGTGAGTGAGGGAATGAATGCCACCCATTGCATCCAGTTCAGCGTCTCTTAGGGGGAGGAACTTAGAGATGGTGTCTTTATGTAAGGGATTGGGGGCAAAGGAATAAGCTGGCTCTTCCCATCTGACAGGTACGAATGGTTCCGGGAGCTGGAGCTGAAGTGGTATGCCCTGCCTGCCGTGGCCAACATGCTGCTGGAGGCGGGTGGCCTCGAGTTCCCCGCATGCCCCTTCAACGGCTGGTACATGGGTACAGAGATCGGGGCCCGGGATTTCTGTGATGCCCAACGCTACAACATCCTGGAGGTAATGAGGGCTGCTTCCAAGGCTTGGCCTGGCAGCGGGCAGGGGTCCAGGGACTGTCTGAACCCGGTTTCTTGTGAATCTGCAGGAAGTTGGCAGGCGGATGGGGCTGGAGACGCACCGGTTAGCCTCCCTGTGGAAGGACCGAGCGGTCACGGAGATCAATGTAGCTGTGCTGCACAGCTTCCAGGTACATCCTCCTGATCAGACATTCTTGCTCCAGCCACATGCCTTGGTTTTCCTGTGACAGTGTAGTTTGTGCATACATGCATCAAGCAGGTCTGAGGGGATTCTAAGCATCCATGGAAATGGCAGATTATGAAAACACTGCCCTCCTATAGTTCTTTTTGCACTAAAATAAGCTCAGCTTTGCATTCCCTTTTCCACGAAGTCCCTTTGTGGTGAACACCCAAATGCACAGGGCGTTGTGCTGGGAGCTAGCAAGCAAGAGAAGTAAGGACTTGCTCACCCTAGCTGGTAGCACCCAGCAGTTCCTTGCTCCTCAAGGCCAGCAGTGCCTCTCTTGGGCCCTGAATCCTGTGTTCTCATAGTCACTCAGGAGTTTACTGCCATTTCTCTTCCTTGCTGGGTCCTTCCCAGTCATGTGCTAAGGGGCTGCACCAGCATCCAGCTCAGAAGGAAGGAAGCTGTTACCCATGTGGCTGCTCTCCCCACCCCCAGGCCTCACACTCTTGCCAGCTCCTGTCTTCTGGCGCCACTTTTCTCTCCCAGCCTCTGCAGTCCCTGACTTTTGTTCCCAGCTACTCTTCTGGTGGAGCTGGGATGTTTGCTGCTTTTCTAACTTACCCAGAGGGTTCCCACCCAGGACCCATGTACTTACCCATCCCTCTGCGTTAACCTCATCACAAGGCAGTGGTCACGCTCACTGCCTCCTCTTAGGCCCCCACACAGCAGGATCCTATGTGAGACAGAGCCTTTGGATCCTTCCTTGCTCTCCCTTCCATCAAAACTTCCTTTCCCCTTGGGAAGGTGGCTAGAATGTGTGAAGACACCACTTTGGAAACTTGGGGCCTTCTCAACAAAGCTGGCAGGTACCCTACAAATCAGACCCCTGGGCAGAGCCATTCATGCAGAGAATCACCTATACATTCTGGAGAGTTTTGTTGAGCACCTGCCATGTGCCACAGCCAGGGATTTATGAGTGGTGACTGAAATGTGTCTGATCATGTGCTGCTCCCCACAGCTAAGTCACCCCAAGGCAGTCTAAGCCTGAGTTCTGTGGAGGAGGGGTTCTGGGTCCTGAGTGAAGGTGGGACAGGAAGAGGCCCCCTGAGGCTGGCCTGACTCGGGAAAGGAAGGGCTGGCCCTGGCGCTCACATCCTGGCCGCCACAGGGGCTCACATCCCGGATGCGTCCCAGGGAGTCTGCCGTGCTCCACCGGCTGCGTCCTCCTCCAAGAGGCCCAGGACTTCCTTGTGGCCCGCCTCCAGGAGAGCGTTCCAAACCCTCGGCCATGGCTCCTCACCAGCCAAGTGAGGTTTAGAGAGGATCCTCGCTCCCCAGCATCTTGCCAGGAAAAGAATGCAGGTGGAAGGTCCATGGGCCGAGGTGTTGACAGTCTGTTTCGGCTATGATTGCTACCCTGTAGCCATGCTCCTTGGATCTGAGCTTCAAGCTGCTGTCACTGGGCCATCCTCCATGTCTTAGTTGTGGGGGATTTGCTTTCCCACTGGTCCAGATTTTCCCCCAGAGGCACCAGCTCCTTTCTCAACCCACAAACCTCCACCCCAGGAGGCAACTCTGGAAATGCCCAATAAATACATGGCATGGTATTAAAAAAAATGTTTATTTATTTGAAAAGCCAAGTGACAAGGAGGGAGAGGGAAAGGATGGAGGGAGATCTTCCTTCTACTGGTTCAGCACCAGATCTGGACCAGGCCAAAGCCAAGATTTAGGAACTCCATCTGGGTCTCTCACGTGGGTGATGGGCTGAAGCACTTGGGCCATCCTCTGCCACTTTCCCAGGCACATTAGCAGGGAGCTGGACCAGAAGTGGAGCACTTGGGACTTGAACCTGTGCTCTGGTATGAGAATCCAGCACTACAGGTGGAAGCTCAACCCATTGCACCACAACACATGCCTCACAGGATGGTGTTTTTGTTACCTGCAAGAAGGCTGTGTGTTTGAGTTAATTATATCCAGAGAGAGCCACTTGCTAAGAGTGGGAAGACATATAGGCTTGAGAAGCTGGACACTGCCCTCCAAGAATGCCCAGGAAGGCAGGTGTAGCCTGTGGGCTGCCCATGGCACTAGTGATTCTTGGGCCTCTTCAGGAGCTTTAGGGGGGCCCTGCGTGTTTATCATCAGCAGGTCAGAGGTGGCCATATGGGAGGCTTCCCTCCTGCTCCTTACCCACCCCGTGACTCAGCCTGCCTCCCTGCCGCCCTCTGATCTAGAAGCAGAATGTGACCATCATGGACCACCATTCGGCGGCCGAGTCCTTCATGAAACACATGCAGAGCGAGTACCGGACCCGTGGGGGCTGTCCTGCCGACTGGATCTGGCTGGTTCCTCCAATCGCCGGGAGCATTACCCCCGTGTTCCACCAGGAGATGTTAAACTATGTCCTGTCCCCTTTCTACTACTACCAGGTAGGGAAAGGTCTGCCACTGTTCTCCCGCTGGGAGCTTAGGTGTGTGTTGGTGTGTGTTGTGTGTGTGTATACCTGTTCCTCTGACAAGGTTTAGCTACGCAGGTAGTCCATTGCGACAGCTACTTCCACAGGAGAGGTGGCAGTACCTAGCATGAAGACCAAGCCACACCCTGTGGTTTCTGCTACAGCCACAAGACCTTTCTTTTCAGCTTTGATTTTGTCATCTCTAAAAGGGATGGGAATAGACTCTGCTGTGGGAGGTCCTGTGGGTCACATGGCATATGAGAGCCCAGCCCAGAAGGCAGCCAATAGCTGCTGGCTGTGGAAATGAGTTTTGCTGTCGTCACAGAGGACTTAGGTCAGGTGTGGAGATGGGCCTCCTCGCCCTGGAGCGGGAAAGAAGGTTGGCCCGGGGCAGGCTGTGCTTGCTGTGGGATTTCCTCCTCAGTGAAGACAGCTAGGTGTGGGTCTTACATCTTATATGGCATGCCTGTGCTTGGGCCTGGAAAGCAGAAGGGAGCATGGTCTTGTCCCTCTAGGAGGACCCTGGTAAGAACTAGAACCACCTGCTAGAGCTGCCAGTTAACCTAACAGTGAAGCCACTGACCAGTTAGGGCACCCATGGCCCATATCACAGTGCCCAAGTTCAACCCCTAGCCCCTGCTGCTGAGTTTAGCTACTTTCATTTTCTTCTTTTCTTTCTTTCTTTCTTTTTTTATTTCTTAAGATACATTTTACAGCATTACGTTGTTGCAAGTTGAGCCCTGCCTGTGATGTTGACATCTCATATAAGTACTGGTTTGGGTCTGGCACAGTAGCCTAGGGGCTAAAGTCCTTGCCTTGCATGTGCTGGGATACTATATGGACACCAGTTCATGTTCCGGATATTCCACTTCCCATCCAGCTCCTTGCTTGTGGCCTGGGAAAGCAGTGGAGGATGGCCCAAGTCCTTGGGACCCTGCACCCATGTGGAAGACACAGAAAAGGCTCAGCTCTGGTTGTTGGTGGCCACTTGGGGAGTGAATCAGCAGATGGCAGATCTGTCTTTCCTTCTCTCTGTGTATCTACCTTTCAATAAAAATACACAAATCTTTAAAAAAAAAATAGCCTTGATTCAAGTCCTGGCTGCTCCACTTCCAATCCAGCTCCCTGCTAACATGTCTGGGAAAGCCGATGGTTCAGGTGCATGGATCCCTGCACCTACATGGGGGACCGTTGATGGAGCTCCTGGCTCCTGACTTCATCCTGGCCCCACCCTGGCTGTGGTGGCCATGTAAGGAGTGAAGCAGCAGATGGAAACTCTGACTTCTTGCCTGTAAAATACATTAAGAGAGAGAGAGAAAAAGACCCAAGTGTACCGTGTGACACACAGGCTTTGACTGGCAGGGAGATAAGCAGACGGGGCTTGCTCACGGGGCGGCAGTGTCGGGAAACAGGGTCCTGGGGCTCGTGTGCTCCCCAGCCCAGGTGGAGTCAGGACCCTGTGCTACCCTACCCTTGGTCCTCTGTGCTGCAGGTGGAGGCCTGGAAAACCCACATGTGGCAGGACGAGCGGAAGAGGCCCCGGAGAAGAGGCCTGAAGTTCAGGGTCCTGGTGAGGTACGTGGGGTGGCTGTAGTTGACCTCTACCCTGCATGCACCCTTCTCCTTCTGCTCAGCCTCACCTCCAGACCACACAGGGCAGGGAGCCTGGCGGGAGGGTTTGGCCCACAGAGGCCTGAATGCCAAATCTTAGGGTTCCCTGTCATTATGACCATAGCCTTTTCTCTCCTCTATCCCTAAGAGTGTTGGGGAGGGACGAGGGGAGGTAACGATGACCAGTGAGGGTGTCAGGCAGGTGGGAACCGCGGGTCCCTGTGCCCTCAACCTGCTCTGCTGTTGGCACTGGTTCCCTTATCGCACCACGGGCGTGCCTCACGCTGTGCTTGTGGGCCTGTGTTGTCCCCACAGATCCGTCCTCTTTGCCTCTGTGCTAATGCGCAAGACCATGGCATCCCGCATCAGGGCCACAATCCTCTTCGCCACGGAGACAGGAAAGTCAGAAGCGCTGGCCCGGGACCTGGGCATCTTGTTCAGCTGTGCCTTCAACCCCAAGGTTGGCTAGGCTGGGTTGGGCTGGTTTGGGCTGGTTTGCTGTGCCTGGGTGTAAGGGATACTGTGCTTCTGGAAACCTCAGAGCCTGGGCTGTGCCTTTGTGCAAGGGGTTCCAAAACTGAGCCAACAAATCTGGTTTCTATGGTATTCCTGGGAACACAGTTTGAGGAGCACTTTTCTAATGAAGCTGTGTGTCTGTGTACATAGGCTGCTCCTGGTGAGTTGGTTCACAGTCACAAACTCCTCCCATGCAGGGTGTAGGGCTGAGTGAGGCCAGGAAGGACCATGATGCAGACACATTAAACAACCAGTGAGACTAAACCACACCCCGTGCCTTCAGCACTGAAGGCAGAACTACCCTTCACTGGGCCAGCCTGGACTCTGAGGCTGCAATCCGGGGTGGGAAGCCCACAAAGGTGGAGGTCCAATGCAGAGAGTAGAGCTGGGGTCAGGCAGCCCAAGTGGCTCTTCTGTGGTCACATGGCTTCCAGGAAACAGAGGTGACTCTGCTGTCCTGGGGTCATGGCATATGGGCCCATGTAGTGCTGTGAGGGATGTGCTGTGATCCGTGCAGCCCCTGAGGAGGAGTGTGAGCAACCGGGTTGGTCCAGCCTGATGGCTCCCAGGGTTGGAGCTGGAAGGGACGGTGGTGGAACATCACTTGTCTCTGATTGAGCAGGCTGGGAGAACAAGGAGGCAATGACATGTGGCACCTGATGTGGCCTCCAGACAGAGTTCTCACCTGCTCCTGCTGGTTTGTGGGATCATGAAGGATTTGGGATGCCATGAAAGGGCTGAGAGCTGTTTAGACTCGGGGTCTGGGGACAAAGCCTCCATGGCCAGAGCTGTTCATCTGCCTCTTCTATGCCACCTTGTGCTGGGCACAGAGGAGACAGATATGACCAGGGGCTTTTAGCCTGAGAGAGTGGGGGCAGCAGAGGGGTGTGGGGAAGGCCTGGGACCAAGGGCTGAAGTCCATGTTGGTGTCACCCAGGTCCTCTGCATGGATGAGTACAGGCTAAATAGCCTGGAGCAGGAGCAGCTGCTATTGGTGGTGACCAGCACATTTGGCAATGGAGACTCCCCTGGCAATGGAGAGGTGAGTGACCTGGGGTCTCGCCCAGGAGGACCCAGGAAAGGGTTAGGGGGTTGGGCTTGTCATTCCCTGAGGAAGGCTTGGGAGGGAGTTCTCTGAGCATTGGCCTGCCTCCTGATTCACAAGTACCTACATGGGTATCTTTCCTATGACATTTGGTTTATATTTATGAATTTATATTTAAAGGAAAAGCATCAATCCTAGAAGTGAAAACCAATAAAAAATAAATGCAACAGATCAGCTAAGAATTGAACTGGAATCCCCATATAGGATATAGGTGTTGAAGACAGCTGTTTATCTTGCTGTAGTACAATGCTGGTCCCCAAATGAATATTTTAAATGTTAGCTACATAGTGTTGCCTAATCCAGACCTTGATAGACAACTGAATTTGGCAACTGGCAACTAGAGCCCTGGCCAGGTGGCTCTACACTTACAAACCACCTCCCACTGGGGACCAAGATGAGCCGCATTCTGCTGATGTGGCCCGCTTGCAGAAGGGCCACCGGGAGAGAAGAAAACGGTACAGTTATGAATCCTGCCCTGACAGCTCTGTGGCTCCTTGTCTTTCTAGAAGCTGAAGCGGTCCCTTTTCCTGCTTAAGGAGCTCACCAACAAATTCAGGTACAGCTGTTTCCCAGCCCAAAGTCTGGGAGAAGGGATGGAGCTGGGAGTGCACAGGGCCCTTCTCAGAGAGGTACAGCTTCAGAAAGCACCTGGGGCTAACGTGTGTCCTACAGGTGTATTGAGGGCCACACCACAAAAGCCCAGCTCTTTTCCATGTTCTGCCAGCCAAGCGCTGGTCATGGGACTTGGCGCTGAGGTCCAGTGGAGGGGAGGATGGGTCGGGGGCAGTGAGAAGCAGGCCTGCTGCACTGTGGCTCCTGGATGCTGGGGGCTGCTGGCCTGAGACATGAGCCTCCAGCATATGTCTTCCTTGAACAGGTACGCTGTCTTTGGCCTTGGCTCCAGCATGTACCCACGGTTCTGTGCCTTTGCTCACGATGTTGACCAGAAGTTGTCCCACCTGGGGGCCTCTCAGCTAACCCCGACGGGAGAAGGGGATGAACTCAGTGGGCAGGAGGATGCCTTCCGCAGCTGGGCCATGCAGACCTTCAAGGTCAGTTCCAGGGGGTGATGTGGTACACTGCCAGGCTCTGTAGACATGGCCCAGGTAGGGGCCACAACTGGGTCCCTGAGGTCGCTGCAGCTTTCCTACAGTCCTTAGGACAACCCTCCTCTGTGCATGTGGCTCCCAGTGGGAGAAGAGGCTGAGCTAACTCCTGTCATTGGGGTGTGAGCATCTGGTGTCAGGCTTTCTCAGACACCCTTGTCCTATTATAGTCCTCTAGCCCCAGCAAGCATGGGGGCAGGGACCCAAGTTGTTGGGTTTACGCAGGTCTTCCAGGCTGTGACTGCTGATTTAGGGGAACTTCATGTGACTCAGCACCATAGACTCAGCAGGGGTGCCCGGTGGCGGGGGGGGGGGCAGTCCCTGCTGGGGTCAGGCAGGCTTGGTCCCAAAGCCCAGCTTCCTCCTAGTGATGCCACAGCAGGAACACAAGCAATCCAGCAGCCTTTGCAGTATACACATGAGGGTGAAGCAGTAATAGCAGTATCAGCCAGAGCCACGGGGTGTCCAGCCTGTGCCTGTCTGTATCTTCACAATAGCCCATCACAAGAGCAGGCAGTGGCCCTTGTTGAGGGTGGTCCCTGTGAGGATGATGGCTATGACACTCATCTGCCCTGTCTTCTTCCAGGCAGCCTGTGAGACGTTCGGCATCCGAGGCAAAGACCACATTCACATCCCCAAACTCTACACATCTAGCGTGGCCTGGGAGCCGCACCACTACAGGCTTGTGCAGGGCTCCCAGCCTTTGGATCTCCGCAAAGGTACCTGCCCCTCGGCACCATGCAGCACCTGTTAGCCCTTCCTGCCTGAGCAGGGCTCCTTGAGCCTATGGTCTCTGAGGGGGTCCTTCTGGATACACACAGCTGGCCAGGGACGGTCAGGGATCCCTCGAGTCACTCCTGAGCCTGTTGGAAGCTCTGAATGGGAATGATTGAGGCAGCCTGTGGAGGATGACAGAAAGAGGAGGGGTCAGTCATCTGTGTGCCAGGTGCTGGGTGGGTTCTGTGCCCATGTGGGCTCAGTGGGCCTGACATTAAACTCATGAAAGAGGCATGGATGGAGAGACTGCAGGTCAGCTGGAAAACCAATTGCCAAGTTCCAGAGGCAGTGAGGGTCAGGAGGGCTTCTCGGAGGTGGCTCTAGTGGGTGAGTACTGGACTGACTCTGCATACTCTGTGTGTGGGACCGGGGCTGGGGAGTCCAGCACCACTGCAGGATTGAGGTATCTCTGGTTTGGGGTGTGTTCGCTTGTGGTTCTGAGCCATGCAGGGGCTCACCTCTTATGGTATCTATTAAATGCACTCCCTTCCCCCCACTCCTCCATGCCTGGCCACTGCACAGCCACATTCTATCAAACCAGGAGCTTTGTGTGCAAGTCAGAAACAGCTGGAAATGGCAAAGGAAAGAAAAGTCCCATAGACGCCCCAAGAGTAGGACCCAAATTGGACTCAAACACAGGGGCCCCCCAACCAAGCTGCTCTTGCCATTTTCCTATTCCTGCTCCCCAACAGCTCTCAGCAACCTGCACGCCAAGAACGTGTTCACCCTGAGGCTCAAATCGCTGCAGAATCTACAGAGTCCAAAATCCAGGTAAGAAGAGCGAGGGCTTCTCCCAGAGATTTCACTTTACTTGGGAGGCAGGGAGGGAACTGCCCCCACAGCATTGGCAGTGGCACCTCTGGAAAGACCAGATAGCCCTGACAGCCACCTGTGCCTTGGCATCCGGCCCCATTAAGCACATGCCAGTCTTGCAGCGTGAGAGGCAGGTACCTGCAACACTGAGCCACTCCTTCTTCATTGAACTCCTCCATTACAAGGGGAGGTCAAAGGGACTCAAACCACTTGCCTTTGTCATAAGAGCTTCCATAAAGTGTGGACAGGACCAGGCCATTTTCCAACTGAGACAAGCGAGGGTTGTGGATTTTCTGTATGTTTTGCATATCTGGGCTTTCCCCTGTTCACCTGGAAGCCTGGTTTTGGTTCAATAAGGATGGGATTTGGGCTGGGGGTGAGGAAACTTTCTTCAGATGCCCTTGATGCCCACACATCTCCAGCTGGGTGCAGAGTCTGGTGGCTGGTCCCCTGATAGCAGGTTGGTCCTAAGCTCTCTTAAGCATGTGCCCTGTGCTGAACTCAAGCCAGCAGCCAGGGTTCATGAACTGGGACAGGAAGCTGGAAGGAGAGGGCATACTTCCTGGGGAAACTGGTCCGCCCATCAGGGAGTGCTGCAGGAAATCCGGACAACGCCAAGCAGAACCTTCTTGATTCCTTCCGCAGCCGAGCCACCTTCCTGGTGCAGCTGTCTTGGGAAGACAGCCCGGGCCCCAGCTACCTGCCTGGGGAACACCTCGGGGTCTGCCCCAGCAACCAGCCTGCCCTGGTCCAGGGCATCTTGGAGCGAGTTGTGGACAGCCCTGACCCCCACCACACCGTGTCCCTGGAGACCCTGGATGAGAGTGGTGAGCCTGCCACCCCACCCCCATTCCCTCCTGCCTCGGCCAGCAGCCCTGTCCTGTGGCCCTGGTTCCCTCAGTGGTGGTGCTGTTAGCAGAGATTGTGCTCCCTGCCACAGAGAGCAAAGGAGGAAAGATGGAGAGGCGTTGTAGGGTGATGTACCCCACTGTCTGGCAGAAGGGGACAGAGAAGTCCTGGTGGCTTAGAGACACAGACATGGCTCATCAGGCCTCTCAGACCCAGAAAAATGATCTCTTCATCTTTTTAGCCGAGATTTATTGAGTTTTGTCCCAGGCACTATGCTGGCTACATGTGTTGGGCACTCGATGCCAATGGGGTAGATTTGGTTCTCATGCCCATTTCACAGGGAAGGAACTCAAGCCCGCAGTGTTCCACCATGTAGCCAGAAGCTGAGCCTGGGTCTCCTGGCCCCAAGGTCTGTGCTCTGACCGCCAGCATCCTGCCTCTGGGCAGACTGTAGTACTTGCCACCTCACTTTGGGTTGATCGTCTGCTTGCCCAGAACTCCTTGGTGTAGTGCCCCAGGGAACTAGAGTCACAGGTTGGTCTCCAAATGAGTGATCAGCCTCTGGAACACACAGCAGTCTGCAGTGAATTTGGTCATCGGGAGTCCATTGTACACCTGCAGATGTCTTACTGAGTTCATGTCTAGGCTAGAGAGAGCCAAGGTTAACCCATTGGGATTGTGTTGATAGGGGATCATAGCAGCCCTATCTGGGCACCATCCTTTCTCATTTTGTGCTTCAGGGCTCCTCCCCCCTACAGAGGGAGGATGGGGAATGGCCACCCCAGTGCCCATATCACCCACAGAAAAGCTCAAGTGGGACTTTCCCTCCATTCTGACGCCTTCTTTCCACCTCCAGGCAGCTACTGGGTCAGGGACAAGAGGCTGCCCCCCTGTTCCCTCAGCCAAGCCCTCACCTACTTCCTGGACATCACCACCCCCCCGACCCAACTGCTGCTCCAGAAACTTGCCCGACTGGCCACTGAAGAGGCTGAGAGACAACGACTGTTGACTTTGTCTCAGATGCAGGTCAGGGCTGGTGGGGGAGGCAGGGGCAAATCCCCGAACTGGGGATGCGGGGCAAACCGGAGCCGAGAGCTGATCTTACACCTCCTAGCATGACCCATCTGGGAGGCAGGGGCAAATCCCTAAGCTGGGGATGGGGGGAAAACCGGAGCCCAGAGTCGATCTTACACCTCCTAGCATGACCCACCCCAGGTTTCCAAAGCAAAGCTTGTCAGCAGCTGGCAGGAAGCAGGCTTCATCTGCTGCCCCTCTGTTGAGCACAGTGGGTTCAGTTGAAATCCACTGAGGGTCTACAGGATGCAACCGAAGAATGCCTCCTTTGGAAAGGGAGCCTGTGTCCTCCCTTCTTAGTATTCCCAAAACCTGAGCCAAAGTTGGAAACTAGGAACTGCTGGGAGATGGACAGTGTGGATGAAGGGGTCAGTATCTGTAGTGACCAACAGGTAGCGCATCAATAGGCTAATGAGAGAATGCTTTCCCTCACCTGCCACTTTCTGGGCCCAAGTCTTTGCAAATAGCACTGGGCATCACTGCTGCCATCGTCATGATTGCTAACTGTCTCGGGTCCAGCCACCTCCACTGCCGTTATTCTATGGCTTTGCTGTACTAACTTTTCCCGTGTTTTCTCATTTAGTTCTCACACTGTCCTCCACAAGGTAGGCACTGGCTTTGGATTGGCTCAGTTCTGGCCATTGTGGTCTCTTGGGGAGTGAATCAGTGGATGGAAGATCTTCCTCTCTATCTCTCCTCTCTGTATATCTGACTTTCCAATAAGAGTAAATCTTAAAAAAAAGTAATAAATAATGAGGCCCTTGCCCATTAGTCACCTGCAGTAGAGTTCCAGGCAGAGAACAGGAACTTTACTCTCCACCTAGGTTGTGTCAGCACCCTGGACAGTGCTAGGTGCTGCCCAGGTGGTGAGTGAATGAATGAATGAAGGCACATGGGTCCTGCCAGCCCTGTTCCCCCAAGGTGGGGCAGGCACCCCAAGACCATCACACTGTCCTTTGGCTTGCAGCCCTCGGAGTACAACAAGTGGAAGCTCACCAACAGTCTCACATTGCTGGAGGTGCTGGAGGAGTTCCCGTCACTGCAGGTGTCTGCTGCCTTCCTGCTCTCCCAGCTGCCTATCCTGAAGCCCCGCTATTATTCCATCAGCTCCTCCCAGGACCTCACACCCATGGAGGTGCACCTCACTGTGGCCGTGGTCACATACCGCCCCCGAGGTGAGGGTGGGGCATGAGCTCCAGTTGAGCAGCTAAAGGGGGTAACATCCACATTTCAGGGTTGCTGAAGGCACAGGGAGGTGTGTGTGGAAGAAGTCGCTCCAAGCTGGATGCTCATCTGATCCCTCTGTGTGTGAGGGAATGGAGGCACAGAGCTGAGAACCACTGGTTCAAAGCCCCACCATCAGTAAAGGCAGGGTGGAGACTCAGACTCTCCTAGGTTAATGGCCAAGTCCAAGTCCTGGACCGCTGGACGGCCCTGCTGCTGTTGGGATGACAGATCATATGGGCAGAGCCTCCCACGCTAAGTGGGAGCCCAGTGATTCTCAGGCTGGCCGCTAGCCTGCCCTTCACACAGGTGATGCCACAGTGGTTGTTGGCTCATTCAGTCACTTACTCCGTGGTGATTTGTCCCACTTCACCCACACCCAGCACAGAAGGTGCACAAGCCCTGAGCAGACAGGGTCATCAGAGGGGCCAGTGAGAAGTGGGCATAGATGTGATTAGATGACTGTCATCACGCTGAGGAGGACCTCTCTTGCCCACATAGTCAAACCTGGCCTGGGTTGGCCGAGCTTGGAGCAGGCCCACACACCTCTCCCCTGTGAAACAGCATCATGCAGTCTGTCAGAATGTGGTAAATGCCCTGATTGTTCAGCCAGGATGCACTCGCCCACACCCTGTGTCTATACCCAGAGAGGGGTGGCCAGTAGGACTGATGAGAGCCGGATCCCATCCTGGGGACACCAGAGGACTTCTCAGGGTGGAAGAGGGAGCTGCTTCAGAGTCTGGCTGTGGGGAAAGGATTGGAGCTGGTGGGGAGGGACAAGGAGCTGGGGTCCCTGCAGGCCTAGGAGGAGCCAGCCACTGGGGGACAGGGTAAGACATTGGAGCAGACACTGTGCCCAGGTCTCCATCAGCCAGGCTTCCCACCAGCAAGACTAACCCTGGAGAGGACACGTAGCAGTGGCTGTGTCCTGGGGAAGCTCTTGGGGAAGGCCTCGGGGGACCCTGAGCTGTCCACCCACCTGGCTCCCCTGTGGCCTGAGTGGCCTTGACACTGTGACCCGAGACACAGTTTGCGCCCTGGCAAAAGGAGCAACTTACATCTCTCAGTCCCTTCCGGCCTTCCCCAGCTCTGCACATTTGGAGGGCGGGTCTCCACACCTGGAGTTCCAACAGCCCCTCCCTGACCCAAGAGGCCCCAAGGGGGAACAGGTGCTGCTGTGCGGCTGGCACAACCAGCAGAGATGTGCCAGTGGAGGGCTGGAGGCCACCAGGTCTGTGCTGTCCTTGCAGATGGCCAGGGTCCCCTGCACCATGGAGTCTGCAGCACGTGGCTCGCCAGCCTGAAGCCCCAAGATCCAGTGCCCTGCTTTGTGCGGAGGTAACCCCACCCTTAATTGAGCCCTGGGCTTCTGCAGTGAGGACAGGGGCCCTGGGATTTGATGCCACCCAGGGCCCCTGGGCCCTAGAGAGAAGGTACCAGGATCCTAGGGTATCGGACACAGCAGTGACATTGGCAGGGTGGTGACTAGGGGGCAGCACCCAGCGAGCTCAGCCTTTCCATGGGGGCATGGGTGGCCCGCAGGCCTGGGAAGTCAACCGTGAGGTCATTGTCTTCTCTGGCCTCCCCACACACCCCGCACCCTAGTCACTGTCCTGAGCAAGGACCCTAGCAGCAGTGTCTGAGACAGGGACCCTCCCCCCTCTGTCCCCTGCAGTGCTGGTGGCTTCCAGCTGCCTGAGGACCCCTCTCTGCCCTGCATCCTCATTGGACCTGGCACAGGCATCGCCCCCTTCCGTGGCTTCTGGCAGCAGCGACTCTATGACTCTGCAAACACAGGTGCAGCTCTGGGCTTCCTGGAGGGGAACCCAGGAGAGGGGACAGCTGGTGACCAGCTCTTGCCTGGGAGAAGAATGGGGGCCAAGGGAGAGTTGTACCACCACTCAGAGCTGGCTTCCTGCCTTCGGTGTTGGAACCACGGGCCCTTCTCCAGGCCATGGGGGTAACAGGGAAGAGTCCATGCTTTTGACCTCTGATGAGCTGAATGGACTCCTGGGTCTGTGCTTTCAGCCATGGGACTGTGGGTCAGGACTTGTATTTCCTCCCAATGGGGAGAGTGCTGGATCGCATTCTGGCCGGAAAGGCACAAGCACTCGAGTGGGGCCCCCTCTGGTGGCCATGCTGTTCACTGCAGCCTCCTGGGTCCCACAGGACTTCGGGGTGGCCGCATGATCCTGGTGTCTGGCTGCCGGCATCCAGAGGAGGACCACCTGTACTGGGAGGAGGAGCTGGAGATGATGCAGAAGGGGGTGCTGCATGACGTGCACACGGCCTACTCTCGCCTGCCTGGCCAGCCCAAGGTGAGCACCCCTTCTAAGCGCACAGCCAGGCTGTGCCCTGGCTTGCTCCCAGCCTTGCCCCTCCCTAGACCATCTCCACACAGAGGCCATGAGACAACACCTGGGGGATGCTGGGCAGAGTACTAGGCCTTCCCTGGTCCATGGTGGCAGGAGGGTGAATCTCGAGCCCAGCCCCAGACCACACTGCAGGGAGAAGTATCCCAAGCCAGCCGGCTCCCTGCTGTTCCGTGAGCCTGGGGAGCTGGCAATGTTGGCTCAGGCCAGTGAACTTGCTTCCGTGAGACCCGATTGCCTCCAGAGTCTGAGGAGCCTAGGAGCCGTCAGCTCTGTCCTGAGTGATGGTTGAGGACCTGACAGAGGGCCCTGTCCCGAGGGACTCCCTCTCCTGGACCTCAGGGAACTGGCTGGAGGAAGTCAGAGCCTGTCTGAGCAGACAGTGCCTCAAAAGCAGCATACATCTTCCCAGCCCCAGCCCCTCACCCAGTCCCCACCCTGGCTGTCACTGCATGTGGCCTGAGCCTGGTCCCCGTGGGAGGCCCTGGCTTGGGGTACAGGGACCAGGCCCAGCATCTTCTCCACTTCAGGTGTACGTTCAGGACCTGCTGCGGCAGAAGCTAGCCGATGAGGTGCTCCGCGTTCTCTTGGAGGCACCAGGCCACATCTATGTGTGCGGTGGTGTGGGCATGGCCCGGGACGTGGCCCATACCCTTAAGCAGCTGGTGGCTGTCAAGCTGGGCCTCAGCGAGGAGCAGGTGGAGGACTATTTCTTCCGGCTTAAGGTATGGTGGCTGGCGTGTAATACCAGGGCTGTGAGAGCCAGGGACAGTTGGGCCTAGAACTGTCGTGGGCTCTGAAAGAATCCTAGTGCTGACTGAAGGTCATCGGTGGGCGGTGGGGCTTTAGAAAACCTGGCTGTGTGTCTTGGTCTGGTTGCCTGCTGGCTTGGAGTTCTGTCTCCTTCTAGGGAATAGGGGAACAGCGTGTGCAAAGGCTGTGGGGTGGGGAACAGGCACAGGTGTCTCAGAGCTTACATGTCCTACAGGACAAGCTCTGGGCAGGCTGGGGGCTGCCATCCTCCCCCGTACCGCATGGGGAGGTGTGGAGCTGCTGGCATTAGCATAGGCCCAAATCCCAGCATGACAAGTGGAGAAGGTGAATGCCTTGTGTCCCTGTGTGAGGGAGCAGGACTCATCTCAGCTGGGACACAGCAAGGGCAAGGTAGCTGGGCCAACATCTCTGACCGCTTCCCACTGGTCTCCCTGCAGAGCCAGAAGCGCTACCACGAAGATATCTTTGGTGCTGCATTCCCCTATGAAGTGAAAAAGGAGGGGGCAGCAAGACAGCCAGGCAACACCAAGCTCTGACAGTCAAAGAGATTGAGGTCCCCGGGACAGGACAGGTGGAGGGGAGTGGTCCTGCCACCTGCCCCACCCCCGCCGTCAGCCCTCACTCTCCCACTGCCATGTGGCAGCTAGCATCAGGTGGAGCCTCTTCTCTCCCTGGAACCCAGCTTCCCTTGGGTAATGAGGGCCTGGGGTCGCCTCTCGCACCTGAGTGGGTAATGAGGGCCTGGGGTCGCCTCTCGCACCTGAGTGGGTAATGAGGGCCTGGGGTCGCCTTTCACACCTAAGTGAGTAATGAGGGCCTGGGGTCGCCTCTCGCACCTGAGTGGAACCCTACCCTCTTCTGACTGCACCTCCTAGTGGCCACCAGGCACCGCTGTAAGTTATTTATGCCTCTGTATTTAAAACACACACACTCCAAAGTGCTCCCAAGGCGCCTCTCGGGATTTTCCTTTATGGTTCCTTGACAAAATATTTAAATAAAATGCATTTTATTCTAACCACATCCTGTGATGTTATGTGTTTTGTAAGGAAAGCTGCCCGGGGCCAGCTAGTTAAGAGGAGGCTGGTGGTGTCATAGTCTGGACAAAGATCGCCCACCAGGGGGCGCACTGGCCCTGTCTTGCTTGTCTGAATTGGGTGCCAGGGACAGGAGCAGAAGATGGGGTGTTGTGTTGGAGGGTGAGGGGCCCCGAACTGTGCCTCCCCTCCCACGGAGCACCTTGCCAAGGGTTTGGCGTGTGGGGTCTGATTTCACATAGCCACACCCCTGAGCCACCGGATCGGGAGTGTCAGTGAAGGAACCAAGGCTGTTCCTACTTGAGGTCTTGTTAAAGTTCAAACTGAGGGGTGCAGGGCTGAGTGCCCACGTTCCTAAAAGGCTCTTGAGCCATGTGGCTGCTGGAAGTCCCTGGGAAACGGGTACCATGGATACACACCATCCTGGGGCTGGGACATCCCATACACGGAGTCCGCATCCCCACTCATGCCCTCACTGCCACTGCTTCCCCATGGGCCTCTCCTGGCCCTGCCTCTCCCATCCTCACCCTCGCTGGTGGCCCCTCAGAGACCTGTATAAGTCCTCACCCTTGTCAGAAGGGTGGGATGTGTCTAAGGTCCATCCAGTGTTCTCAGTCCATTTCTACTGCCTGTCACACACTGGAGGTTAGGTAAATTACCAGAGAGATTTGTTTGGGGTCAGGGTCCAAGTGACCGTCCTCGGTAGTGACCTTGGTAGGGTCTCGAGGCAGCACTGAGGTAGGAAGCTCACAGGTCTGTCTCCAGGCACCATCCCTCCCCTGAGAAAGCCGCCAGACTACAGCCCAGGGGCTCTGCCCATGACCTCGTGGACCCCTAAGCACTGGCCTCGGACTCAGCCGCTAAGTACCATGGAGTTGGGGGAGGCAGGGTGGGCTTTCCATCTCAGGGCGTCTGAGTTCAAGGCCTGGCTCTACTCCCAACTCCAGCTTCTGGGTAGTGCCCAGTCTGGAAGCAAGCAGGTGCTGGCTCAAGTATCTGAACTGAGGCTACCCCTTTGAGGCCCGGCCTAGCCCCACCCACTGCAGCACGAGGGGAGTGTGACCCTGCAGCTGGAACTCTGTCCCTTTCTTCCCTTTCTGTGTCTCAAGAGTTACATCTCATAGCTGGTGATGTGTCCACCGTCTAAATCCTTCAAGTCAGGGACTGTCCTCCACCGTGAGTGTTGGAGGGGGTGACCCACACTCGCCTCCCCATCACCTGGGCCCCTCACCAGGGCTCCTGTGCCAGCTACTCGCACCCTGGAGGCCAGTGCTCTGACTGGCTCCCCTGGCAGCCTAGGGTGGAGATGGAGTTGTTGGGAGGACCCAGCCTCTGTCCTCCTACTCCCCTCCACAGACTCCAAACACACTCAGGAGCCCGTGGTCCCTTTGCATTATGCTCCAACAAGCACATTTATTTCCAGTACACAGGAGAGAGAAAAAGTCCACTCCTGAGAAAGCTGTGGTCCACGGCAGGCCTGCAGGATGTTGTGGGGCAAGAGGAGGGATTAAGGCAAAAGGCCAGAGGACAGGGAGGCCATGGGGCAGACAGCTGGTGGCCTGGGATGGCAGTGCAGCTGAATGGGTGACAGGAGAAAGTGGCCTGATGGGAGGCTTGCCAGGTCCCTCCTTACAGGTGGTTGGGCAGGGTTGGGGTAGGGGGACTCCACCTGCCTTCTCCCCGCAGCTACACCCTTCTTCCCAGACCAGCTGACCATGGCCAGAAGTCAGTCTAGCCAAGGCCAGTATTCCACAGCAGCAGGGCCTTGGACGGGCAGGCAGGGGGCAGGAGGTGGCAGTGAGGCAGCCCAGACAGCGGCATGCATGTCCCAGCCCTCGTCGCCAGGGGCCTGTCTAGGCCTGCACGTGGGTCAGCTGGACATCACCATTCACCTCCAGGTTGTTGATGGCCGCCAGGTTCTTGAGGCGGTGGTTGTACTCCAACAGGTGCTGACCGTCCACAGCCACCTTGAAGCAGTAGCTGTCACACATGATCCACACCTGGGCAGAGAGGCCCATGTTTGCACTTGGAGGGTCTCCAGCCCCGAGCACACCCTGCCTCGTTCGCCCCACAGCACTCACCGACATGCTCTGGCCCCTGCGGAAGGGCATAGGCCGCAGTAGCTGTCGCTCCTCGGACCCCCACGAGCCCCTGACCTGGGTGTTACGGACCACGGCGTTCTCGTCAAATCGGGGGTTCAGGTGGAAGGCGATGTCGCTTCCCGAGCGCAGGTTGATGTGGAACCTGGGGTGGGCGTGGCTCACAGTCCTCTCTGCTCTTTGGGCCAGGGGCACAGCCCCTCCCTCTGCCCTGCAGCCTGGCCCAGGTGATCTCAGAGGATCCGGTCCTCAATGCCAGGCCTAGGCATCCCCAGCTCACCTCTTGGCATTGGGCAAGATGGTACCCACCACAATGATGGATTTGGATGGGTACAGCCCACCTGGGATACTGCTGAAGTAAGGCATGGGCTGCGGGCGAGGAGAGGGCGACAGGTCAGTCAGTGGTGCCCCGGAGTTTCTGTGATCACACACTGCCAGGGGGGCTGAGAGGGCAGCATCTGGGAAAACCTGCCAGGCATCCCCAAGGTGACAGGATTGGGCCAGGTACCAGGGCAGGTATCTGGGGCAGGAAGCGAAGGCCAGGGAGTCCACTCAGGGTGAAGGGAAACACTGAGTGGAAAGCGCCTTGCAGCATTGTCTTATGGCAACTGCTCAGCTCCACACAGAGCTGCTCTGAACTACACAGGGTCAGAGGTCACCCCTGCCCCTTCCCCAAGAAGTCACTTACATAGGTTGGGCTGGGGTACATTGTTGGTGGGATTCCAGGAGTCTGTTGGAGAGAGACCAAGAAGCTTACCCATCCACTAGAGGGGTTGCTTTGGGGAGGGGTGGTCCTGAAGCTTCAGCCCTGGCACTCTCCTGGCCTCTGTCACGGCCGCCTTGCTGGGACAAGGCGTCACAGTCACCTGCCCCTCTGCCCTTCCCTAGGCTGCAGAGACATCTCAGGTAACAGGGCCCTGTGCAGACGCTGGGGCCTGGGGTCCCTGCTGTCCTCGAGGGGCAGCCCACCCTTCAGCCCAGGCTGTTGTCCTGAAGCGGGGAGAGGGGGTCCAACCTCTGTGGTCCCCCCCTCCTTGTTAAACTATCCTGACCCCATGGCTCCCAGGGAAGGTGGCTGCTGTGGGACTGGGAGCCCAGCGGAGGGTTCAAACTTACAGGGAACATCTGAGGACTCTGTGCCATGGGGGGCAAGACTGTCGGAGTCTGGAAGAAAGAGACAGTCCCAGTGAGGACCACCAGGGGGCGCCTTGATGGGGGCACTCCTCTGAGGCAGTTCACCTTGAGCAGACACCTCCCACCCCCATCCCCACAGGTAGATGGAGGAGTTTCTGCAGGCTGTGAAGGGACACAAGGACTGCCTGGACAGCCGTGACCTCTGGCCCTTCTATCTTCTTAAGAGAAACTTCTCTGGGCTCAACAGGAGAGAGAAATGAATGTGAGACCTTGGTCAATCAAGTGGCAATTCAAGGATCAATCAACCATCCTTACGCTCAGCTCCCGGCATCTTCCAGGCCAGGTTAGTGGTCAGGGGGTGTACCGCCCCAGCGTCACCCTCCCTGTGGGAGGGACCGATGCATGGCCCTGCCTCTTCCTGTCCAACCACCAGAAGACCCCAAGGGATAAGGACCCACTGAGAGCCAGAGACTTACAACAGGGTTCAGGTTGGCATGGCCACTGCCTGAAGGCTGAAAGGAGTGAGAAAAACCAAAATGTTAGTTACTGTTGGGTAGGAGATGATGTTGTACTCCAGGCAGGCTCCCCTCCTTCCTGTCCCCAACCCCAGGTATGTCAGAGACCAGGAAGGGGGCTGAGGAAGATTCCTGTTGGCTCCTCCTGGGAGTAGGGATGGCATGCCAGGCTCAGGCTGCGATGTTCGGCTTAGCGCCCAGAACAAGGGCACGCAGGGCGCCAGGGGGGCTTCCCACAGCCATTGCACCCTAAGCTCCTGAAGGCCTGGTGGACGTGCTTCCCCACAAGCAAAACATTCTGGGTCCCCGCTTAACTGGCAAGGCCCTGAAAGCTTGAATGAGTTGCCCAGGCTCTCCAGGGAGCACGTGATGCAGTTGCACACAGTGCCCTGTGCTGTGTGACTGCAACACACACACACACACACACGAAGCCTGGACCAACGCTGGACTACCCAGCCAAGGTCCCTTAGTGCTTGACCCATGTTGGGGCAGGTGCCCTGCTGGGACCAAGCTGGGCCACGGGATGGCTGTGCAGACAGGGCTTCCCTCTCCCAGTGTCCACTGCTTGAGTGGCCATGGAGGAGAGCTTGCTTTCCCCTCCCAGATCCTGCCATGCCCAGCAGACTGCTGTGGCCTTGGCTGAGCACCTGCCTGCCCTGTGAATGACATGCCCTGTTCATCCGTGAGTCCTCCTATGCAAAGGACTGCAGGCACACCAATGAACAAGCCACAGTCCCAGGCCTCCCAGCGCACAGGGAAGGTGGTGGAGGCAGGGGGCCACGAGACAAACAAGCAGACACGGTTACCACAGGGCATGGACGTGGTTACGGCACAGACACGTGCAGAGGCCATGGGGACATGGAGGGACCTGTGCCCAGAGAAGCAGCACTCAAGCAGGGCAGGGGAGGACAACTGGGAGCATGCTGGGGGCAGAGTGGGATGGCATGTGCGGGGGCAATGTGATCCACGGGTCTCCAGGGGGCAGTGCAGGCCGTGTGAGCATGGCGGTGGTGCGACCCAGAAGGGAAAGGGTGCTTTTGGGGAGGATTGCAGATGTCCTACTGGGAATCTGGGGTTTAGAGATTTTAAAGTTTGTAAGCACGGTTTGGAGCTGGCTTTGTGGTACAGTGGGGCAGGCAGCTGCTTGCGACACCACCATTCCATGTTAGAGCATAGCTTTGAGTCCAGCTGCTCCACTTCCAACCTAACTCCCTGCTAAAGCACCTGGGAAAACAGGCTAAGACAGCCCAAGTGCTTGGGTTCCTGAACCCATGTGGGAGACCTGGATGGTGTCCCAGACTCCGGGCTTTGAGGCCGTTGTGCAATTTAGAGAATGAGCCAGCAAGTGCCATTCTCTTTGTAACTCTGCCTTTCAGGTAAATAAACACATCTCAATACATACATATATATATATATATATAAACAAGACTTGTAAGTGAGGCAGGGCAGGGAGGGGTGAAATCAGATGTGTGTCTAGGCATGTCACACGATGGTGAGTGTGAGGGACAGTGGGGGGCAGAGCTCAGTGATGTGGGCATTTGGGGGAGGGAACCAGCAGATAGATCTCTTTCTCTGCCTTTCTCATCTTTGTATATGTTTCTTTGTCTTTTTCCAAATAAAATAAGGAAGTACATTTTTTAAACAGCAGCGGGGGAGGGGCGAGGGAGCCTGTGGGTGCCGAGACGAAGCACCCCAGCCTCTCTGGCCCTCCATCCTTCCTGCTTAGCCTCCCCAGGCCTCCACGGTCCACTCACTTTGGGTTTGCGCCCCTGAGACTTGGGGAAACGGAGCCGCTGGGAGGGCTGCTTCGTGGAGAAGACAGGCTGGGCAGGGGCCACGTGGGGGTTCTGTTAAACACAAGGGGCGCCACGAGAGAAGCGTTAATACAGGCACATGCAGTGTTCTGGACAGAGACAGGACATGAGGACGGACACGGTGACCAAGGACAAGGGTGGCAGACACCAGGGCAAAGGAATTGGTGCTTCCCCAAGTATCTGGGGAGGCTGAGCTTGGGACCTTCAGGTCCTGCACCCCAATCCCTGGGCCAGGTTCCGGGTGAACAATCTGACCTTGAAGGTGATGTAGAACAGCTGCACAGAGCCAGTGACAGCGATGGCATTCACGCTGGTGAAGGGCACCCGGTGTGGGTACTGCACAAAGAAGATCCCGTTCACCGTCACCTGCCGAAAGAGTGTGTGTGGGTTGGTGAGGAAGCCCCTGCTTTTAGAAATAAAGCCCTGGCTGTGGTTTGCACACCCAGCATCTCCTGGGGGACAGCACCAGCCGTCCTGAAGGGGTGCAGGCCCTGAAGGACACCCACCGGTCGCTGCCTGGCTCTAGGGGCCGGTGTTTAGTTCTTATGGTTGCTCGTTTGCCTGTGGCAAAGTTTGCCTTTCTAATCAGAGTTCACCCAGGGTGTTATTTATACATGCATAAAAATATACGCAGGGAGCAGTGCTCCCAGGGGACAAGTCAAATGCAAGGACACGGACACACGCACCCTACCCAGTTCCCCACACCTGGACACCACTCTGCTGGCAAAAATGACTTGGCCGTGGCTGACAAACCTCACTGTGAAATCTGGGTGAACGCTGGAGCAGGGTAGCAAACAAGTAGAGGTTACCAGGAACCTAGAGGGGAGAAGTGGCTGCTGCCAAGGGATGGGGTTAACCTGGGCTTTTCAGTAAGGCACCATGGGACTGGTGTTGTGGCAGAGCACGCTAGCTGTCACCTGTGATGCCGGCATCCCATATGAGCACTGGTTTGAATCTCACACTGCTCCACTTTTTTTTTTTTTCAAAGAAACATTGTTGCCTTTTTTTAAAATTGGAAAGTCATATATACAGAGAAAAGGAGAATCAGAGATCTTCCATCCATTGATTCATTCCCCAAGCGGCTGCAAAGGCCAGACCTGCACCAATCTGAAGCCAGGAGCCCAGAGCCTCTTCTGGGTCTCCCAGGTGGGTGCAGGGTCCCAAGGCTTTGGGTTGTCTTCCACTGCCCTCCCAGGCCAACAGGCATGGAGCTGGATGGCAAGTGGGGCTGCCAGGATTAGAACTGGTGCCCATATGGGATCCTGGCACATGCAAGGGGAGGACTTTAGCCGCTAGGCTACCGTGCAGGGCCCACTATTCCACTTCTGATCCAGCTTCCTGCTGATGCTTTGGGAAAGCAGAGGAGGACAGCCCAGAGTCCTTGGGAGACCTGGATGGAATTCCAGGCTCCTGGCTTTGGCTTAGTCCGGTATTAGCTGACGTGCCACTATGGGGAGTGAATCAAAGATGAATGTGCCTTTCAAATAAATCAATTTACCTTTTTATACAAAAATGCACCCAGACCAAAAAGCAGCATGGTGATGTACGTCAGGGACGACTAGAGAGTGAATGAAGCGACAAGTGCACCTGCAGGTATATGAGGTGCCCGTAGTCACGGGCGTCACCTTTCCAGAAGACGCTCCTGGCATCTACTTGAGGCTGCGACAAGGCCTCATCTCAAGGAACGCAATGACTCAGAGGTCCTTCCCCAGGTTGGCAGGGCTGGAGACTGGCAGCAGGAGGCAGGCGGGGACCAGCGGGCTCACCGTGAAGTGGGAGCTCTGCACCAGCAGGCACAGCTCGAACGGCACCCCCTTCTGGAAGGGCATGCTCATCTTCCTCTCTTCCGCCCCCCACTGGCCGTTCTGCTTCGTGTTGCAGACCACATACCCGCCCAGCTCAAACCGCGGGTTGAAGTGGAAGGCGATGTTATTCTCGTTGAAGCCAGCCTGCAGGTTCACAGCAAACCTAGGCAGAGGGAAACCGGGGTGGTTGCGGCACAGCTCGCCACGTGTCTGCCTGTCTGCGGAAGACCCGCGGCCTCAGGCCTGTGACCCACTGGCCGGGCAACCCCTCGGTGGTGCCTGGGCCTCCTTCTGTCTCACCCAGTGGCTTTAGAGCAATGATTGCCTTTTGCACCTGCAGTATGATTTTCTCAGAGTGGAAAGCAGGAAGAGGGCAAGTGGTAGCACCTGTCCTGGGATGCACAGATGCTGGGAATGCTGGCAAATGGCCATTCTGGGCAGAGGATTCTAGCACACCTGCAGAGAGCCTGTGGCGTTTGGCACACCCTGGCTGGGGAGGTCAGCCGGGGCCTCAGCCTGGGAGAGAGAACAGGCCTGAAGAGGGTGTGAAATGGGGGCGGGAGAGGGGAGGGAAGGCCTCCCGGTAGGAGGGGGGTGTTTGGCATGAAAGCCACCTCTGTGTGGGTCCAGACCCCCTCCAGTGTAGGCTGCCGTGTGTTTTGGAGAACATGTGAGGTGTGAACGTGGTGGCCCCAGGCCAGGCAGGCCAGGGCTTAGAGGCCTGCTCTGTGCTTTCAGGACTGCGTGATCCCCAAGTTGCTCCACCCACATGAGGAGGCCATCTGTGGGGGACAGTCCTGCGGGGCCGTGCGTGGGTGTGTGAGAGCAGATGAAGCCCCTGGTGTAAGTACAGGTTGAGCCCCACCCCTCTCCTCAGGGGTCCTTCCGTTTGACCGTCCCTGGGCACAGGTGGGACCTATAACAGGAGGAGTGAGAACAGCAGGCCCTGCCCGAGCCTGCGCACGAGAGGAGCTCGCCCGAGAGCCGCTCTGCCGATCCCTAGCGGCTTCCTGCTCCCATCCCAACCAAGTTCCAGCGGAGGGTCTCCCTGGAGGCGTTTGTGTCACCTTCAGCCTCCTCCAACCTCGCGTGGAACAAGTTCAAGTCCTGCTTCCCTGGGACCCCCGCGGGCTGCCCAGGCTAACCCACTGAACTGCCAGCCACCCAGGGCCCCTCCATGCCTAGTCCAGAGGCGGCGGTGAGGGAGGAGGAATGGCGCCTCGAACCGGGACGGCCCAGCTGAAGTGGAGCAAGGACCTGGGAGAGGCGTGAAGGGGCTCCGGGGCGTTCCAACGACAGGACCACTGACAGGACCACCTCGGCCAGAGTGCAGAGGGCAGACACCCCGCAGACGCCAGCCCGACCAGGTGAGGGCCATAACACACCTGTGGCCTCCTTCACAGAGGCAGGCCAGGCCCATGTACAGGTCAGAAGCCCATACAGCCCCTGGGGTCACCAGGGAACCCTTGGCTGCTCCCAGACAGCCCGCCTGGGAGAGGTGGGGACAGAGGGGAGGCCGCCTGCACTGATAAGATGGTGATATTTTGAAATAGCAGTGTTTTCCAGAAAGGACCTTGAAACCAATAGGGACTGAATTACTTCAGCTGAACTCGAACTACTTCCACATTAGCAAAATGAAGGGCCCTGTTACAGGAAACCAAGGGAGTTCTGGAGCCCTGGGTTGTGCAAAGCTCCATGTCCCGTGCCCTTGGTGTGACTTGTAGGGCATTCTGTGTTTCTGCTTAGGCTGGGAGGTGGAGGTACAGGCCAGGAGTCTTCCAGGAGCCCCCTAGCTGTGGAGTCTGTCAGTGGCCTGGCTGGTGTGATTGGTTTTGTGGAGTGGCGCCAGGTGGTACAGGTGGACACACACGAGCTGGAAGGCAGCTGGTGGAGCCCACCCCAGCTCCCAGGCCCAGTGGCCACAAAGGCCCGCCACGTACCTGCTGGCGCCGGGGTGCACACAGCCGTTGACCGTGATCTGAAGTCCATCCTGCAGGCCTCCTTGGATTTCCCCAGTAAAGGGCACAGCCTGTGGGGGAAAAGGGGCTGTTGGTCAGCTGGCAATGCACCTACCCACACACCCCTACCAGGCCTGACCTAGTGCCCTGAGCCAAGCTCTCATCCCTCTGCCAACCCTGAGTTCACAACACCCCCTCTTGCGGCTCTACCATGTGGAAATGACTGCTAGGCCCTGGGGTAGTGCCCTCTCTCGTGGGTAGTCCCTCCTCTGCTGGTTCCCTGGTTCCCTGGGCAACTTTGTGGCTCCTCCTCTGCCCAGGAGGATTGAGTCATGGGGAGATGTCGATCTGGAGTCAGGAGACTCCTGAGTGATCATGGGAAGCTTGTTTAACCTCTCTCTGCCTCTGTTTCCTCATCTGTAAAATAAGGATAATTCCGCTCCACACACACACACATACACACAGTCGATGATTTGATGGTGAAACAGTCTGTGACCAAGACTGGAGCCCAGCAGGTGCCTCTCTGCCCACTTCTCGCCCACCTACCTTGATCTTTCCGAACAAAATTCCTAGTAGCTACTCTACCCCTCTCTCTGTAACATTTTCCTATTTAGGGTGAAGGTGAGAGGAGAAAGAATGAGAATGAGTTGACATTGGCCCAAGTGCCAACACCAGCCAGGTCTCCCTGTGGGGGGCAGGGGTCCAGCTGCCTGTGGCACCGCTGTTGCCTCGCAAGGTCTGAATTAGCAAGTCCGGAGCTGGGAGCCAGCCCTGAACTTGAACCCAGACCTCTGATAAGGCCATCTTAGCTGCTAGACCACATGCCTGCCTCTGCTTCCAGACTTTCAAAGCTTCCGGAATGCCCATAGCCAAGGGGCCTCTGCAGTCTGCATTGAAGCATTGTTCTCTGAGATTATTGTCATGGTTTTCAAGTTGGTCACCTCTTTTCTAGCATCTCCTTTAGGTCAGCTATCTACAGAAACTAACAGGAGGCCTGGAGGAGCTGTAGTGGGGTAGGTGTTCAGGGAGAAACCGACAGTGCCCCCAAGAGCCAGGCTGGGCCAGACCAGGGGCAGGAGACTGGCACTCCATCTGGGGCCCATGTCCTCAGGCTGTCTTGTGCTGCCTCCCTGGGTGTGTATTAACAGGAACCTGGATCTGAAGCAGAGTAGCCAGAACTCTGATATGGGAGAATGTGGATATCCCAGGTGGCAGCTTATCTTGCTGTGCCACAACACCTCACCTAATTATACTTGGGTGCAAAATCTGGACTCCATGCATAGATCTTCAAAGATTCATGAAACATGAATATTTAAAAAAAAAAAACAAACAGTTGGAGCTAGTGTTGGAGCATAGCTGGTAAAGCCTCTGCCTTGGATGCTGGCATCCCATAGGAATGCTAGCTTATATCCTGGCTGCCCCACTTCCCATCCAGCTCCATGGGGATGACCTGGGAAAGGCAGTGAGGTTGGCCCAAGTGTTAGGAGCCTGCCACACACGTGGGAGCCCCTGATGAAGCTCCTGGCTTTGGCCTGGTCCAGCCCTGGCTATGTGGGCCATTTGGGTAGTGAACCAGCAGATGAAGATTTCTCTCTCTTTTTCTTTCTCTCTCTCTCTGACTTTAACAAAGGAACAGAAAAGATTATATTAGAATTTCAAAGCTGTTTTGTGGTGAAGTTGGGTTTTTTGTTTTGTGTTTTGTTTTGTTTTGAGACACAAACAGAGCTCTTACCCACTGGCTTACATCCCAGTTGTCCACAATAGGCCAAGTGGAAGCCAGGCATTGGGGATCTCCAGCCAGGTCTCCCAAGTGGCTGGCAGGGACCCAAGCACTTTAGCCATCCCCGCTGCCTCCTGGGAAGCTGGCATCAGGAACCAAAATCCAGGGACTCAGTAGGGAATGTGGTCCCGTGACTGCTAGGCCAGATACCTGCTCCAATTCATCTTTTAATCTGTGTTTCCTACTGCCTTTTGGAAGTCCCCTCACACTTGTGGGAAGCAGGCAGCCTGTCCTGAAGCGTACTCACATCAAGGCATAAAGGAGGGAGAGCAGAGTGAAGGGGACGTGGGGTCATGCAGGGAGAGCCACTGTGGAGGAAGAAAGGGCGCAGATCATAGGGACGGTATATTACAGGTTCATTTCCAAGGTTACACTCCACTCCACCTGAACATCTAATGCAGTGCTAACATGTCCTCCAATTCTGAAAAGCTATATTTGAAATTGAAGTTCAAGGTTAGTGTTGTGGTGTTGTGGGTAAACCCTGTGACATTGGCATCCTATGTGGATGCCCGTTTGTGTCCTGGCTGATCTAGCTCCTAACAAATGGCCTGGGAAAGCAGCAGAGGATGGCCCAAGTCTTTACACATCCACTGCGTGCATGTGGAAAACCCTGAAGAAGCTCCTACTTTGGCCTGGCCCAGCCCTGGCTGTTTGGTCCATCTTGGGAAGTGAATTAGCATTCAACATTGGAAGATTTCTCTTTTTCTTTCTTTTTTTTTTTTTAAAAAGGAGGAAGTACATTGAGCCCCGGTGCTGCCATTTGTATACCCAGTGGGTGGGGGCGGCCTGTGTACATGAATCTATCTATCTGCAAATAGAATGTCTGTGGAGGAATCGACAGCAAGCTGGCCACACGGGCCGATTGTGCAGAAGGGACTGTGGGGTGAGTAATGCCCACTGCCCAACCCCTCCCTCGGGCCCTCCCTCTCTCCCTGTAAGCGCGCTTGGAAATGGGGATGTTGGCAGTTATGATGAAATTAAGGATCTTGAGACAGGAGCAGCATCCTGGGTTGTTTGAATTGTCCAAGGTAACCACGAAGATCCCTGGGAGAGGCGGGAGTGGCCTGGGCCAAGGCCTGCAGACTGCCCCCGGGAGACCCTGCCTTGTCTACCTCAGAGGGAAGCAGCTTTGCTGCTGGCCTGTGACCTCCAGGATGGTAAGGGATCCGTTTGTCTCAGTTGACAAATTCTGCTGTGGAATTTGGACCCGTGTCTGCCAGCAAGGAGACTCTGGGGCCCCACTGGAGCTTTGCCCTGGCTTTGAGATTACATAGGCCTGCGGTCCTTTCCCCACCATTGGCAGCAGCAGGGACGTGTCCCTCAGCCGGTCTGTATGTCTGTGATCCAGTTCCAGCAGGGCTGTGATATTTGAGATGTTTTTAGAGGAAAGCCCCTGGTTTGCACTGGCCTGGGCAGAGTGGCTTTCTGAGCCAGTCCCTCTGCCCAGAGCTCAGAATGTGCTCCTTGCTCCTGGCTGCTCCCATTCCACCCCACTCTCCTTCCTTGGAAGCCCAGACAGCGAGGCCAGCTCCCGCAGGCCAGCATGTGAGCAGCTTGCTTTTGGACTCAGTGGCCCAGGTGTTGTCCTGGGAGCTGGCCGGCCTTCCAAGCCCCTCCTCCTAGCTTTGCTCATCCTCTCTCACACCTGGCTAAGGAGACCTCACCAGAGTCACACAGCAGTGAGCTGGGATTTTGGTGGCCACACCACATGTGTCCCGTGGAGAAGCACAGAACATCTTTATTTCTGTCTCACCCACATCCCCTGTTGGGTCCCATCTGGACTGTGGTGACCACTTCCCCTTGGCCCTCTGACTGTGACCCTGCAGCAATGTGCAGCCGCAGGGCTCCCACCGCCCAAGGGAGGCCCCGGGGGCGGCTCCCCCCAGGTCTTTTATGGCTCTGCCACCTCTGTTCACCCTCTAGCCTGCTGGCCCTGTTGGAGCCTACTGTTTCCTGTTCACAGCGGGGAATTTTCCTCTTCTTTCCACAATTAAGAAAGTGAATGCAAATCACCTGAGATATCAAACGCTGGGTCCTGGGATAATCAGGGAGCAGGCATGCAGCCAAGGTGGGAGCCCCTGTCCCCAAGACTCCTTGGGTGGTGCTCCCTGTGTACCTGGCATAAGTCCCACCTATGGGACCCCCAGAGTGGCGACTGCAAAGAAGCCAAAACTCACCCCTTTCCAGCACCTGCTCAGGCCATCAGGGAAGTTCTTGGCCAAGAGGAGCCTCCTTACAGATCTGGCCTGGAGCATGAGACCCTCAGATGACCCTGAGCCTAGAGCTGCTGCTTTCTGCCTCTTCCTATTATTGCTGTGTCCCTGGGCACCCCCTCTGCTGGTGGCAAACCAGGTCCCCTGCCTTTCCTGCCACTTACCCACTGGAGTCATTTGACCCATGGCTTCACCTCTCTGGGCCTCGGTTGATCCACATATGAAGGGGACAATACACCTTAGAGGGTTTACAGCAGGCCATCTGCTGACGGAACTGACATTGGCAAACAGATGCAAAAGGATGGGCCAGTCCCTGCACCCTTCTCAATTCTGAGACCCTGGACCCAGCCTTGCCATGTAAACTCCCCTACCCCCAGTGGTCCCAGCACAGACATGTCCTGGGGAGGTTTCCCCATGGCCCCCAGAGTCCTGACACCAACACCCCCTGTAGAGTGCTTACTGTCCAATGTGCCAGACCTCACTTTATCCTTACCCCAACGTGGGGAGATGGGTTTGAGTATTATCCCTACTTTATGGATATGGAAACTGAGGCCCAGAGAACTTATTTTGTCTGAGGTCAGTCAGCTGACTCCAGGCAGGCCATCTCCTAAGTTAGTGTCCCAGAGCTATGATAGGCTGCTCCCCTCCCCAGGAACTGGCTTGCTCTTCTCTCTCTAAACCATCACATAATCATCCCACCCATGCTGACTCCCCACCCTCCCTAGAGCCCGAAGTTTAACCCAGACCCGCCAGAGGCCCGTGGCTGCAACCCCAGAACTCACTGGATACAGATAGGAAGGCTGGGCACGGTAGAAAGCCATGGTCTCCTCACTGCTGCCGGAGCCACGACTGCCGTTCACACCAGCTGAGCAGCACTGTGCTCCGGAAGGGACCTAGTGAGGAAATAGAAACCAAAGCAGTGTGGCAGCTAGCCAATGGGGAGGAGCCAGGAGCAGCTGGACGTGTGGCAGAGACAGACAGGCTGGTATGGAGAGACTCTGGGAGAGGTAGATGGCCACTCCCAGCCGCAGGGACCTTCTATGGCTCATTCCATCCGGGCTCCACCCTAGGACCAGGTCACATGAGGTTTGTACAGGTTCAAAGTGCATCAGTATGACTATGAGTTCTAGATAATACTGCCTGGGATGGGCTTAACCTGTGGCTGTGCACTGGGGAAGGAGGTTTCCACCCCTATGCACACTGGGGGCCTGGGGCTCAAAGGGATTAGGGGACACACGGGAGGCTGCCTGGATGGTCAGCAACAGCCTGAGCTAGTGGAGAATGCTTAGGCATTCATCCCTTTTACATTTTTATCCATGTGGAAGTCAGAATTATACAGGAAGTGTCTTGTAAGAAAAACATGATGGAAATGGATTTTTTTCATGATTTTTGTATTATTGAAGTTATCAGAGTTCTCTATTGTATGAGTTACAGAGAGGAAGGGAGAGGAAGAGTTCTTCCATCTGCCAGTTCTCTCCCCAAATGGCCACAACAGCCAGGGCTGGGCCATGTCAAAGTCAGGAACCAGGGGTTTCATCCGGGTTTCCCATGGGAGTGGCAGGGGCCAAGCCCTTGGGCCACCTTCTGCTGCTTTTCCTAGGCCAGAGCAGGGAGGTGGATCAGAGTTGAATTCAAACCTGAGCCCATATGGGATGCTGATGCTGCAGGCAGTAGCTATGCCACAACAGCATCCCTGAGAGTGGGGGTCGTGTTTCTAGAGTGTGGTGGTGTTCCCAGGAACTTCTGATTTCCCCTCCCTCCCCGTGTACCGGCTATTTCCTTCCCCGTCTTCTCTGGACTTCAGGATGGCGTAACGGGGTGGGGGTGGGGCAGATGTCTGAGATGTGAGAGAACTTCTCAGATGACACAGGGCAGAGGAAATGTGTGAAATAAATGACCCTTCATTGGCTTCTGCATTTGGAGACCGGAAGTCATTGGCTGAAACAAATGCGTGCTCGCTTTGGCAGCACCTATGCTAAACCTGAAAACAGAACTGTGGATGGTTAGAGGCGGGTGGGGACGGAGCCAGGCTGGTGGATGCACCTGTAGCAGCCAGGCCATGTAACGTGCTAGCAGAAGAGCCCAGTTGTGAGGCGTAGGCGGCAAACTTGAACATGGTTGTGGTTTGTATGTGTTTCTTCAAGGAGTTCCTCGAAAGATTACCCCCAGTGCACCAGTTTTGTGAGGGGGGTCGATGATGGGGGTGGGGGTGGAGGTGCGTGTCCAAGCCCCAAGGCCTCCAGCCTCCCCACAGGCTTGTGCCAGACACCAAAGGGCTTGAGGCTATGAGCTTGATTTGCTGCTCTCATGGTCCTTCTGTCTTCTGCTTTGTGCTGTGGAAGGATGTGTCGGGAAGGCTTTCATTGGACGCTGGCATCTTATTGTGGAACATCTCGGCCCCAGAACCATGAAAGGCCCATTTTCACAGCTTACCATGCTCTGGTCTGTAGTGTTTCCTGTGGCAGAACAATATGGGGTCAAGACTAAGATGTACCTCACCGGCGCCGAGTGGGCGGGAGGTGTCGCATGGCCGGCCATCCCTGAGCCCGTACTTTCTTTCTTCTTGCGCTCTGTCCAGATGCCCCAGAGTCCAACAAGACAAACATCTTTGAAATTCTCCTCAATCTCAGGGCCAAGGGCACCTTGTCCCTTTTGTGTTTCTGGTTCAAGCAGATGTGGGTTGCATGGAAGGAACAGACAACACAGCTGGGGCAAGAGGAAGAAGGTGACATCAAAGACAGCTTTGCAGGTTGCCACTTGATTTGGCTATGTGTGTTTGCAGAGTTCCCGCCTGATCTGGATCCAGTTGGACCCAGTTGGACCCAGTTGGATCCAGTTGGATCCAGTTGGATCCGGATGTGCCTGGGACAGCTGGAACACTCCCAAACTGCAGGTCGCAGAGTCAAACAGTGAAGCTTAGGAAAGGCGCACGGTGAACTGGAATACAGTCAGACATCCGCCTCTCCCAGGTCCCCGCTGCGCCAGCTCTCAGTGCTGGCCCAAAGGAAGGCAACCTCATGTATTTGCTCACAGCCACTTTACTCGGCTTAGCCCCAGGCTGGAAGAAGCAGAGGTGTTCACAACGGAGTCGTGTTTGGTGAACTTGGTGTAGCAGAGCGGAGCAACACTCTTCCTCAAGGAACCTGTGGACAGGAAGCAGCTCAGAGGAACTGCCCACTGAGGGCGAGAGGCCAGACAACGGGTCAGGACGCGGTCACCCTTGGGGCCGCTGACTAGGCGGGGCCTGAGCAGCTTCCTGGACGCTGGGAATGTTCTCGATTTTGGGTGGTGGTCACACAGATATCTACCCACATAGCAAGCCAGGGCCTGCACACCTTCCTCTGTATAAACCGTGTGTCAGTAAAATACTGTTCGAAGAGAACCGTCTCCCAGAATGCAGGAAGGTGCACATGGAGGCTGGCACCCCTCCAAACCTGAAACCTGGAATTCCCATGTAATGCAGCTACTTCCCCACTGGGAATATTCCCAAAGGTAGTGAGAACAGGGGTTCCAGGAGCTCTCTATGGCACTGCTCGCCATAGCAACAGCGCGGAAGTACCCGGGTGGGTGAATGGGGCGTAAAGACACGGCATCGCCCCAGCCCCCAGCCTTGGAAAGGACTGAAGTGCTGACTCACTGTCCCGCTGAAGAACCGGAAGGTGCGAGACCACGTGACAAAACTCTGGTCACTGAGGCGTGAGCACAATGAGGTTCCCTGTGCATGCGCTCCCCAGAGCAGCCAAAGTCAGAGGGAAGAAAGGAGGTGGGAATGTCAGGGCTGGGAGGAGGGAGGAAATAAGGTGGGTGCTGAAGGGGGGCAGAGTCATGAGCAGGATGGTGGCTGCATCACAAGCTGTGTCCTTAGCAACCCAGTGCTAGATTTGAAATTGGAGAGGATGGGGCCTGCTGCAGTAGCCTAATGGCTAAAGTCCTCACCTTGCATGTGCTGAGATCTCATATGAGCGCCGGTTCATGTCCTGGCTGCTCCACTTCCCATCCAGCTCCCTGCTTGTGGCCTGGGGAAGCAGTCGAGGACCCAAGGCCTTGGGATCCTGAACCCGTATGGGAGACCCAGAGGAGACCCCGGGCTTTGGATGGGTTCAGCTCTGGTCACTGTGGCAGCCTGGGGAGTGAAACAGCGGACCGAAGATCTTCCTGTATCTCTTCTCTCTATATATCTGCCTTTCCAGTAAAAAACAGATGTTTTTAAAAAGGATTGGAGAAGATGGTGCACTTTGGCTCTTGTGTCCACCTGTAGCCAAATGCTGTCACCTCTACATCAGCTCTGGCCCAGATTCTCTGCTGGGTCCTCCAGACCTTCCCCCAGGCACCACCTGTCAGGTGGGAAGGATGGGCCAGTCTGCTGCAGGGGATTAAGGACCCCTGGGAGAGAGGGGTGGGAGAGCCAGCGAGAAGGCTCCTGGGGAACCAGGTGTTCCCATTGCAAAGCAAAGGCAGCTGTTCTTAGCCGGATTGTTGGGTAGACTGGGTGGGAGAACCAGGGAAGGACTTTCCAGTCATGGGGTGCCCGGGCCTGCCACAATGGTGGCAGCCGCCGTGGGTGCATCACTGCTCGGCTGCTACAGCAGTGGCCGAGGGCCGCAGCTCCGAGGTGACAGTGGATCTGCCACAGCCGCCGGAGTGGGAGCGGCAGTGATGTTCCAGCTCTGATCAGCAGCTGCCTGTTCCAGGCAGGTTCCCCGAAGAATCACCAGGAGTTGGACGTTGATGTAATCACACAAGGGCAGTTTAATCAGGCTAGCCTGGGCCCCAACCTCACTGCGGTGCAGTGAGCCCCGAGGCCGGACAGGGGCAGGGTGCTTAGACACCTCAGAGAGGCAGCACAGAGTTGCACTCACAACTGGTCAATTACATTTGACCAATCACAATTGTTAGTTTTCAAACCCGCACTTACAATCTTCAAACAAGGCAGATTGGCAGGCTACAGGGCAACGTCTATGGGGGCACACCCTGAGCTGGCACATCTAAAAAGGCACAGAGGGGGCTTTGTCCTGGGGCTCTATCTGAAAGGCATGCTGGGGGACTGTCAGGTCTGCCCAGCTCTCACGGTTTCTTCAGCCAAGCAAGCAAAGCAGGAGTCACAAAAGCAGAAAATCTTGCAGTTAGCAATGAGCAATGGCAAATGGTTGGAACCCTGATTTTGAGGTTCCTCAGGGACACAGCAAGGGCAGCATCCTGGTGGCCTGTTTGAGGCCCAGCCAAGGCAGAGTGTGTGGAGGGACCCAGCTCCCATGGGTGGGCAGACTCACCTGAGCCAAGGCCTGCCTCTAAAGGCAATGGGAAGTCTAGGGCAGGGTGGCGGATTTGTAAAAGTTATTTGTTTGAAAGGCAGCATGACTAAGACAAAGATTTTCCATCCACTGGTTCACCCTCTGAATGGCCCCAGCATCCCGGCCCGGGCCAGGCCCAAGCCAGGAGCTAGGAACTCCATCCTGGCCTCCCCCATGGGTGACAGGTCCAACTACTTGAGCCATTCTCCACTGTCTCAAGGTTCATTAGCAGGGAGCAGGATTGGAAATGGAGTAGCTGCAACTTGAACTGGCAGTCTGGGATGCTGGCATTGCAAGCAGAGTTATTTGTGTTTAATGTTGTTACATAGGTGAGGGGATTATAGACCTATGCAGGTCCCTGGGTGGGATGGGAAGGGATGGGGAGGAAAGTGGGTGAGGGAAAAGCCCCCATCCTCCCTTTTGTGACCATGGAGGAGAGGTGGTTGTTATGCCACTCCTTGCTGCCAGATCACATCAGCACCAGGGAGCAGAGATGGTTTCCTGATTTCATCCCAGGGACACTGTTGGGGGAAGAATTTCCTGAATATGTGACTTGAGTAGTCTTGGTTGTTCTGAGATGCTGTGTCTTCGTTGAGCCAGGTCTGAGATACAACTT